CATGATGAAAGTAGCACTTTTGGGATGTTTTAAGAGACTCAGGTTTTCCTTCCTAAATATTTTTCTTTCCCTCCCTTTACTCCCACCCTCTCCATCCTGGTCAATGTTACTTTAACTGAATTTTAAATTTAAATTTAAGATCCCTATTTATTTTTTCAAGTGTTTTATACTGCATTTTACTTGAATGACTATAAGCTACCTAGAATTGCTTATGGTGAGATGGGCAGCATGTAAGTTAAATAAATCAATTCCCACCCTTTTTTGTATTTTTAATCTCCTGACTACTGCCACCCGGTGCTCTTCATATATGTTGGACAAAAGCTGAAAGTACATATTTTTTTGGGTAAGGATTAGAATAATTTGGAAGTGAGGGAGTGGCTCCAATTAGAACTGTTTTTTACACTGTTGTTAAAGCTACAGAAATCCTGTTAGCAAAATAAGTTTGGCCACAAGCTTTTTGCTTACTAGCCAATTTGTGACACTACCGCTCTCTAGTCTAGTGGCAGGCCTCCTGAGTTTTACTTGTTGACTCGTCACTTGTAGAATCTTCTCTTGGGCCTGCCACAAGTAGAATGGTTGGCCCTTAATGAACTTCAAGGGGGGTATTTATCATCTTCCTAATTGAGATCTGGCTTCAGGCAGCCACAATTAGCACAGTAATTGGGCTCAAGGAGACCTAATCTGTTTGTGTAAAGTTGCAACCTCTGGGGAAACAGGAGATGACGAAAAAGGAGGATAAGGTCAAGCACAGACAGCAGGATGTGCAAATCAGAAATGGTTGAAATTCATTGGGTTTGGAGTGAAAAGAAAATCTACTCCAGATTATAATAATAGGAGCATACCATTTTTTTCCTCAGAATATTTTTTAGGAATCATCAAGGCTAGATGACAACATATCATATCCTTGAGAAGGATGAGTTGGTATCAAACAAGTGTGAAGATTCCCCATAACTGCAAGATTTTTTTTCTTTGAAGGAAAAAAGAATGCCATATGAGTTTTAATAGTTACGTTGGGCAGCAAACAGCACAATAAGGAGTTCTGTCTTTATTGTGATAGCAAAATGCTATTCTGTAGAGTTCAGAGCCTCTACCAGCAATTCAGTTCGTGGACATTTGCATCTTAGTGCAAGTTAGTGCAGTGCATTAACTTTAGGAGCTATTCAGGTCCCAGCACCCGGTGATTCCAGGAAAGAATATGGGGAAATGGTTTCAGAATGGGGAAGGCCTGTAAAATTCTGTACAGGGGGACATGAAGTAATGCAACGTCTTTATCTCTCTGCTCTGAGAGCTTAAGGCAGTGGTTCTCAACCTTTTTAATGCCGCGACCCCCAACCAGTCGTAAGTCGAGGACTACTCAACCGGTCGTAAGTCGAGGACTACTCAACTGGTGCAGCACTGTTTGCAGAATGGGACTTTTGGCAGGCTCAGCAGAGCAGAGACAGCCTGGACAATTCCTATTGGCTTTTGAAAGCCAATAGAATTAGTCTCTATTCAAGAGAGTCTATTCTATTGGTTTTCAAAAGCCAATAGAATAAAAGGGAGTAGCACAGCTAAGGAAAAGGGGGAAAAAATGGCAGACTGCGTTGTTTGGCGACCCCCATTAAATGGTCGTTCGACCCCAAATGGGGTCCCGACCCACAGGTTGAGAACCACTGGCTTAAGGGATAGTAGACTGCATATGCCATTCTGATAGCACTTTTTGAGATCCTTCCCTGCAACCACTAAATGCCAGAACCTGGATAGCTGGATAGCTAATGCACAGAGTAAGTCCTCGACTTACAACCATTTGTTGAGTGACCATTCAAAGTTACAGTGGCACTGAAAAAAAGGTAACTTATTTTCATGTACAACCTTTGCAGCATCCCTGTGGTCACCTGATCAAAGTTCGGACGCTTGGCAACTGGCATGTATTTATGACGGTTGCAGTAACCTGGGGTCACGTGTTCACCTTTTTTGATTTTCTGACAGGCAAAGACACTGGGGAACCAGATTCAGTTTACAACCATATTTCTAACTTAACAACTGTAGTGATTCATTTAACAACTCTGGCAAGAAAGGTTGTAAAATGGGCAAGAATTCATTTAACAACTGTCTTGGCTAGCAGCAGAAATGCTGGGCTCAGTTGTGGTCATAAGCAAAGGACTACCTTTATAGTCTCCCCTCCCCCCAAAAAGGAGGTATGGAAATCATGTAAAACTTCATACAAAGAGATATAACGCTCAGAGAACCTAATAGCATAGATTAAACAGATCACAAACTTAAGAGATCTGCAAGTACTGTAGTTTTTAATTCTAAACTTCTCTTTGGGTTTGTGCTTTCTTCTGAGGAATCCTCAATATCATTCACAGTAAACATTTTCTAACGACTGGGACAAGGATGCCATTTCTTCAATCTCCCATCTGCTAATATTTTTGAGTGTTCTCCAAAGGTGCTTTTTCAAAAAGCAACTGGACTTCGTTTTTTCTTGAAGACGTTTCACTTCTCATCCAAAAAGTTTCTTCAGTTCTTGGGACAACCATGACCTGGATGACTGTGTGTCTCCATAGACATTTTTGAGTGTTGCTGAAAGTTTTCTCACCTGAACTAAACGAAAGGAAATCAATAAACCAGCTTCCCCCAGCCTGGTATCTTTCAAATATGTTGGGATTTCAACCCCCAGAATTCCCAGCTTGCATACAATCCCAACACATTAGGAAGCCACCAAGCTGTGGAAGGCTTAGAAAAGTCTGTACTAAAACAAATGTATCTCTTAAAAGGAGGACCCATAGATTGAGTGTCTCTACACAAAAATGCTGGGTCCGTGAAATTTCTTTCATCGTTGCTCTGTGACAACTGATAAACAAAGGATGCTGCTTGGGACAAATACATATTTGGGTGGGATAAAATGCAGGAAATGCAGACAGGGTTGGAAAAAAGGGAGGGATCTTTGGTACTATCCTTAATTGGATTCTGAGTAGTCATCCTCTCAGTTCTTTTTTTCCTCTTCTTTCAGGTATCCCTCTGCTGGGGTTTCTCTTCGTGCTGCCGCTGACCATTCCATGGGCTCGACTTTCAGAATCATGGCTAGGAGTTGTGCACTATTTGGCTTGCATTTTTCCACAGCTGGGCAGTGTGCTTTACCATCTCTTCATGAATCATGAGGGAGGCCCTGCTGTTTACCATACCTTGCTCACCCTTGATATGTGTGGGGTATGCATGGTCAACACTCTGGGTGAGTTAAAGCACTCCCTTGTTATCCATGGATGACTTACTGGATTGGAGGAACAAAAAAGGGACATGATCGCAATGCGGAGGGCTGAAAGTGGTATTTGAGCTGAGAGCAGGTTGCGTAGAGGGTAAATGAGTCAATGTATATTGGCTTTGGGTACTGAAGAGCCAATCTTTTGTGTGATGGCAGAAGCCATCTTGGGTAAAAGCTCAAGAATGAAGTGGAGGTAAAAAGGATGTGGAATTGAGCAGTGAATGATCCTTGCATTGTAAACACTATTTGGGGAAAAGGGGGCTTTCTATTGTTGTAAATACAAGACTGTTTGTTCTGAGAAACTGAAGGAAGCTGAAATATTTCAAGAGTGCTACATGAGGTCCTTATTTAACAACTGTTTACAATAGACTTCAAAAAAAGGTATGACCCATTCTCAAAGTTATGACTACTGCACCCATCCTTCTGAGGTCAAATGATCTCATTTCAGGCACTTGCAACCAAGCATTTGTGACTGGTTGCAATGTCCCGCAGTCATGTGATCACAATTTGCAATTTTTTTGCCATTTCCCAGCAAAAAATGCCCACTGGATATGCTGGATTTGCTTAATGACCAAGTGGTTCACTTAACAACCAGGTGATTCGTTTAACATCTGCATTGACTCCTTTTATGAACATTATAAAAAAGATTGTAAAATTGAGTCTGATCACACAATGCCTTGATTTATGCTGCAGTGAGGCTCCATTGTAGTTGGAGACTACCTGTAGTGACTGACCATGTAAGCTGATTGCCACTGTTTTTATCCTTAATTTCTTGGTGGACTGACTGTCTTTTTCCACACAGGTGCTCTTCCAATCATCTACTGCACGCTGGCCTGCTGCCCACTTCTTCGTTCTATTGCCCTGCTGGCCTACACAGGCTTGTCAAGCTACGGTATCTTTTGTGCAGTGACTGCTCGCTCCAGTGTCCGGCGCTTACGAGCCTTTGCCTGGCAGGCTCTGTTCCGCTTCTTCTTCTTCTATTTGCGGTGGGTGGGATTAGGCACCGGCCATCCCACGTCTCTGCGTTCATACCTCATTATGGACGGTCTGGCCTTTCTTGGGGGCGTCATTAACATCTCGCGAGTGCCTGAGCGCTGGAAGCCAGGCTGTTTTGACTATTGGTTCAACAGCCATCAGATTATGCACGTGCTGGTGGTGGTCAGTATACTCTATCTTCATTGGGGAGTGGTGGCTGATCTTCATTGGATTGCCAACTATGCCTGTATAAAGGAATGACCACATCATGTTTGGATTCACCCCTTCCACAGAAAATCTGCTGACTGAGAATTGGGTGATTTATAAGGCGTGAGCCACGGTTCTCATTGTCCAAGATCTTCTACAAGGGCTGAAGTACATAAGAAAGGACATCTTCTGGATGTGATTTATTTAAAAGAGGCTGCATTTTTTTTTCCTGTGGGTTTAATATAGTAGTTTCCTATTGGTTGATTATTCATGGATCAACTTGTCTAGGATTTGTATACTTCTGAATCTAAAGTAACAAGTTTCCACCACTTGAGGTTCTTAGATCAGTTTGTGCAACTATTCTTCCAGTTTACAACAGGCAAACATAATTTGGTTAAAAACAATCTTGATCTCTAATAAGATATAATTGGAGAAATGATCAACTGTATTAGTGAAGATTTCCACCCCATCCCCAACTCTTACTTTTGTTTGCTGTAGGACTTTATCATCAGAGCTGTTCTTGAGGTAGCTTTGATGATAGCAGGAAGAACCCTATTAGTTGGTTCTCTTTTTTTTCTCCATTTGCATTGAAGATGACATGGGCAGTGGGAAAAGAGAGACATTCTTAGTAGAAGATGTTGGAGCTGAGTGCAACTTCTCTGCTTTTTAGAGGCAGTTTCTTAATACTTTTTATCCAGGTCTTTCAGACACCATGCAATACTTTCTGATTTTTAAAAGGGCTTGTCAGACACCAGAATATTAAGCTCTGCTGCATAGTTTAGTTTTTCTTTACCTGTCAGAAGGATAATCAGGAGCCTTCAAACTGGATTTAAGTTGAAATTGAGGAGTCCTGACTTCAATTTTTGGGTACTGTCATCAACTTTAGGGCCATGACTCTTTTGCAGCATACCTCAGTTTCCTATCTCTTGGCAGTGTACAATATTTATGGTTAGATTGGAATTCTTTTTCTGCTACCACATTCCAATTTTACCCTGACCAGACCAATGCTTTTCAGAGCTTTATAGTTTTGTATGAATTTGGAAGAACTTTCTACTCCATTGATATGGCTGCTGCAATTGCAGTAATCAATAATAGGCAAGTGCTATTATCTTTTCCCCTTTGTTATTGTCCTGACTGGTCCATTAACTATAGCTTCTAGATTTTGGTTCATTTCTTTCACTGGCTTCTTGAATTGATGCATTCTGAAGATTTTGCTTTCTAATTTGATTTGTTTTGATTCAAATAGAATCCTGAGATCAATTCTTCCTCTGAAGAACTAAGTTTTTAACTACTGGTCCATGGTCAGAATTTTTTGGGGAGGGGGTACTTTTTGAGAACGTAATCAGAAGTGGCTGGTTGAGGATCAAAACAGCATTTTAGCAAACATTTTACAATCCCTTTGAAGTCCTTCTCTTGGCTTAAAATTAGGAACCGGGAGAACTAGCATTTCTTTTAGATACCTAAATTTGGCGCATAGTCCTTAGCCTGCTGAACAATATTAGGTCCTGATGCATGTCTAAATAGGGGTGAGGTATGTGAGATCTTGTAGGCCCTGGTGATCTTCCACATCTGAACACTCAAAATAATTGTGCATAATGCTACTTTCAATGTAAAATGGATTTTCAAGTGGAATTTGTTTGTTTTATGACAAATCTTAAAATCAGGGTTTTTTTTGTTTAGCCTCAAAATACATCTAAATCAAGCAACCTATTCAATATTTGGTAGCGCTTTATATTTTGCATTTATGTAAATCACTGTAATTTGGCTTTTAAAAAGCTATGTTTAGGGGTTCTCCTTGGAATGGGGGAATTCTATATTTTCTATGCAGCACAAGTTACTTCATATTGTTTTAGTGAGTGAGGCACAAAACATTTAAGAAAATGGTTAAAGCATATTGTGACCTTTACTGAAAACTAGTTTTCAGTGTATAGTAAGCCAACCTATTTGGATTTTAGTTTAATTTAGGGTCAAATAAGAAAAAAAAATCTACTTGTATCTTTCTAAGAATATAAGTGGCAGTGGGAAGCCCTTTCTCCAAGGAAAGAAATTTGGAAAGGGTAGAGGATGATACTGTGACTAACATATCAACTAAAATAAATCATTTCTGATTCCTTTAAAGATCAAAATTGTCCTCCTGCATCTGTAAATCTACCTTGTTAAAACTAGCCAGACTGAAAAACAATCATGTAGATTTAGATGTAGAGACTAATTTTGATTTTTAAAAGAATTGGGAAAAAACTTATATTAGTCTATACAATGTGTTACTTTGGATGTATCTTCTTTAGAGAAGGTAACCAGGATAAAACACGAAAGAGTCTGATGTAACTTAACAAGCTGAAAAGTGAGTCAAACAAGTTTTTGAAGAAATAGAGTGAAGGTTAAACAATTTCTGTGTTTTAGGTTGCAAGTAGATCTTAACGTTATGAAAAGGGAAGTATTGACCTAAAGCTTCCATGTTAGAATGTGAATTTTGTGTCATGCAGCTATTTTGGAAGAGGATTTAATCTGCTGCTAATCAAGTCTTGTCTCTTGTTATCTCAGGGTAGATGGACATTGCTGATGTTCACAGCTTCTGAAGCTGAAGCTTCACATATCTTTAAAATAAAAGAGCAAGGCACATCCAAAAATGCACTTCATATGGGAGGGAGGGAGAGATGGGAATTTTAAATACTTAAGATCCAGAATCTTTTAAAAAAGGCTGAAAAAAAAAACTTAGGCAGATTTGGGCTTTTGATAAAGAATGTTTAAAATGGGGCTTAGATAAGAAATGAACTGCTACTCTAAATCTCTTGAAATTTTCCAGCTTATGATGGCTATGCTGTCCTCAATGCCAGATGCCTCCTTCATGTCTGTTAGAGTAACCATCAGATTTCATTCTGAAGCAGTGGAAATGGAGTCTTAAATACTTTCACATTGACAGCTTTTACTGTCTCTCTACATTTGAATGAATTGCTGCTAAGGGTATGATTTTGAATTGTGGTTCAGCTAAAATTATTGTGCTGACTGGAACTAATTGGAATCTTTCACAAGTGAGGGACCACATTTCTTTTGGAAATAATAAGTATGGTTGAAGATTCAATTACCACAAGCTTTCTCTATATTTTTATAAAACAACTGCATGTTTTATAAAAACTTAACTACAAAAAATGTTTAGTGAGACATAGATCAGTTCAGTGCTAATAGCCTGCTTATTGAAAATTTATTTTTCAGTTAAATCACTACATTCTAACAGTTTCATCATATTTGGCTGAAAGGGAGTAGGACTTTGTACCCTGTATTCGCTTGATGCTTTAAAAATTGTACTTTAGGTTTTTAAAATATCTACAAATATTTGAGTTGAATTTCAGACTCTGGAATTCAATGCCTGGACAAAAATTTAACACCTCATTCCTCTTACAATCTAGGCTAGAGCGAATAAGATTTAAATCAGCTATGAAGCATTTATATTGGCTAAAAGAAAAAAAAATGTAGAAAGATTTTTATTAGAGCAACTTAAATTTTAGAAAATAAGATGTTAGTTTTGGAATTTCTAAGACCTCTTCATCAAGTAAATAGATTAACTTAACACAATTAGACAAAATCAGTTCCAGAATATGTTGGTTGAGAGTTGCGACTGATATTTAAGGTATTTTTGCCTTAAATTTCATTATTCTCACCTTATCTTGTATCCCGGAACTCTTGCTACTGAAATTTAAGATTAGCATTGGAAAACTATGTTAAGTATTTTGACAAATGGAATGGTTTTAGCACACATTCATTTCCCAATAGGTGCCACAAATCTATTTGTCACCTATTGTTTTAGAGATTAAATCAGGTTGTCAATACTGATGGAAACTACAAGAAGCTTATTGCCTATTTCAAGCTTTTGGGGCATGTCCTCTTCCTTCTTTTCTAGTCAACATTGCCTGCTGCCATTCTGTTGTCTCCCTAAAAAGCAAGATATAGCAGCACTGTGCCGATAGTTTGTCAGAATTATACAACAGGACTGGACTAGACTGTTCAGCTAGCAATACTTTGACTTTATCATTTTTACCAGGTTATTGTGAAGCTGAAATAATCTAATAACAGAATGATAGCATTAGTGTACTTTTTGCCTCTTTGTTGGTTAAGTAGCAGAGCAATCTGGAAGTTCACATGTATTGCCTATTGAAGGGAAAGGAAGCAAAGAAAAAAGTCAGCTTCTGCAGTGACTTTTTAACTTCAGTATGGATTACAATATAATACAATATAGTCAGCCTACAGAAACACTACCTGCAACCAGATTATCCCTCCCCACTCCTTCCTGTAGTGCCTTGGTTGCCAGCTATTTTTCCTACTACAGCCAGAAAAATCAGCCGACTGCTTTGATTGTGATGTACTGCATACATAAAATCAAAGCAGTGCCATTCTGTGAGCCAGAACAGATGCCACAGAAGCAGGACAGGAATTGCTTAACTGTGGTGGCAAATTTCATGCTGATACTGTACAGACTTTTTTGCTACTGAATGATGCATACATTCATCAGGCTCCCAGTTGGATATTCTAGAATAAGAAAATATTTGCATTCTAAATATATCCTAATTGAAGCTCATTAAAGTAGAATGAACAGGCTTTCAGAAAAGCACATTTTTTTATTAATCACCAGTCACCTTTTTCTCTAACCAGTAAGAATAGGCATCTCATATAATCTGATTGGAAAATACTGAAACCAAGAGACAGTAAATATGGGCAGCTAATAATGTGCAGAGTTTGCAGTCACTTCTCTGAAGGTCTATATTTTCAAGATTTCCCTCCATTAAACAAAAACTCAAATATTTTCCCTCATCGTCTATTAGACTTCGCTTTAAATAACATCTCCTTTAAGTCTTTTTTTTCCTTAATGGAGTTTTACTTTATGTTGTTGTTAATTGCGAAGTCGTGTTTGACCCATCGCGACCCCATGGACGTTCCTCCAGGTCTTCCTGTCCTCTACCATCTTCTGGAGTCCATTTAAGTTCACACCTACTGCTTCAGTGACTCCATCCATGTTTTAAAAAAGGAAACAGACCAATTGGAAATTCTGAATGTTTTTATTGTCATGACTTACAGCTGCCACCTTTGTAAAATCTCATTATGAAAGATTATTCAGTTCTGATACTTAAAGTCCAATTCCACAAATGACAACAAATCTTTGGGACACAAACAGAAGAGGACAAAACTTTAAAAAGAAATGCGTACAGAATGTATTCAAGCATCAAATTTGTATAAAAGTAGGATGCCTTTTCCCTTAAATGATGACAGAGTATGATCTGCTTTCTACTGATTGCCAGCAAAATACTATTCTTAAATCATCTCAAAAGCAGCCTTATATATGGCTTAAATAGGTAAAATGTACACAAAGCAAAGCATCCATACAAACTTGCTTTTCCTTTGCTAGTCTGATCTCGGTCAAAACTCTGAGCATATTGACCTCTAGCATAACGTTAATGGCAAGAACCTCTTCTTGTTCCAAAAAAGGGCCTAAGCAAACCAGCAAATAAATATAGTTCCTCCATCAGCTCTGACATTTTTGCTGAGATGCCAGAGAATCCTCAAATAAGTTTAACAAATTTTTTGGCTCAAAAGTGGAGCACTTATTTGAGCATTGAGGTAAAACCGATTCCCATTCATCTTCTGTATCCTCATATGCTGGTGTGTGCTGCAAGCTATTCGCAGGTAATATGTTTGATGAAATGGGGCTGCTGCATGGGGACTTCAGACTAATGCAACTAAAGTTGGGACTTCCCTGGGGAGTAAAAGACCTGTGAATGATAAAAAAAAGTTAAAAAGGAAAAAAGTATGGAAACCTCACAACTTGGCAAGAAAGAAACTTGGCCTCTCCACAGTAAGAGCCTTGGGAAAGTCTCAAACTTCAAAATGCCACACTTTTATTTTTTACCGAAGAGGTGAAAACATGCAACAGAAGTATTAGCCCAGTGCTATAGTTGCTCCCTGAGTAAGTCATCAAGTATTCTGAATATTGTTTTGTATCTTCAGTTTGCAGGCAATTCTGCAAAAATCTCCAGAAATTTAGTTACTGGCTGGTTTTACACACAGTAAACTTTGGTTTAAGTAATAGGACTTTACTGAATATTACATTTGCACAATTCTCTAAATCAAAGCAAACCAGATTTTTATATATATATATATATATATATATATATATATATATATATATATATATATATATATATATATATATATATATATATATATATATATATATACAAATATTTCCTTATAGTCATTACTTCAGTAACAGCTCACCTGTTTTTCCTGCAACCAGTCTGTTGGGGTGAGGGATGCCGTGGTGTGGAGGTGCTTCCTGCACATGGGCATATGGTAAGCAGGGGAGAACCAGGATGTCTGGAAAAAAAGTAAATAGGTTTTACTACCAGGCTTAGCAGAAATCTGACAAAGATATGTTGGAGAATGGGTGGGGAATTCAGATCAACACATATAATAAATGATGCACAACATGTTTGAACAAGTAGGCTATATTTGCTTTCTCTTCTCCTTTTCATCATACAGCTCTAGGTGTATTAACAGATCTGTTCTGCCTTCAAGAAAAAAGCAAAGAATATTAATCATTTGCCTCCAAAAGGTGAATTCCTAGCCAGAAATAATTTGAATGATCAGGAGATAATTATTTTTTTGATAGGACAGTTGGCTATCCTTAGCAATTAAACAAAGATGAAATTTTGTTTAAAAGCTGGATGAGTACTTTTAACCAAGTAATTCTTTTAATGCTTAATAATTGACAACAGTATTTCATAAGCTAAAAAAAACATTTCCTACTAATTAGAGAAAATATCAAGAGAAATACATTCTCATATGAAAAATAGAATTGGATAAGTTTACTAATGTCTAGGTTGGCTTCAGGCTTGGGATGGTGTTCTAGAAAATTTTTACAACTGTAAAAAGCATTGGAGGACACTGCTGCATGGAATAGTGAGGCAGTTTCTCTCTCAAAGACAGGGAACAATCAATTTGAAGCTCTTCCTTGGTTGTCAGTTATGCTCCAGGCAGCAAAATTGGTAGGGCTCTTTACAAAGTGCTTCTTCAAATACTTTTCACAAGCCTAATCACTATCCTCTATTTTGGGTTTCAGAGATTGCTAAAATTAGAAATAAGATTACTGCATGCAGGTGAAGTATTACGGAATTAAGGAGTTCTAAAAAAGGATGGGTAAATGGAATTTGTGTTACTAATTCATCAATTCCAGTATCAGAAGGGAATTTTTCCAATGAATTTTTGAGTTGAGCTTATTTGTTTCTCAAATTAGGCAAGCACTTCACTGACCTTAAGCACTAGGATTCATCTAACACTATTTTTAATATCTGATGCAGGCCACTTGTTCATGTTCATTTTCTACTTCTGCCACATTTTGAGATAGGTAGAAAAGGGACTTACTTATCTAAGGACTGTAGCTCCACAGGGCAAGTGTGATTATGTCGTTCATTTATCTCAGAGAGATCAAGTACAGCCTCACCAAAGCTCTCTTCATCACCCTCATCTTCTTCACCCCAGTCACTAGAGAGACTGCTGTTTTCCAGGGGAAGAAGAAAGGGTGAATGTGGTGGTGTAACTGGAACAGTCTGATGCCAAAAGAGCAACCACTGAACTGGACTGCACAGAGCTCCCCAGAGCCACCGTATGAACCTGAGGAGAGCCTGGAATGAACAGAAAGGATCAAACACTGAGAAATCAGCAGATATATTATACACAAACAACCATGAAATATAGCATGTCTTAAATTTGACAGTAACACGGAAACTAGAAAGGGTTCTAGCATTAAATGACAATAAGCATTTGATATAAACCAGGGTTTTGTACTAATATGTGTCTAAGAATTCCAAGGATTCAAGGAGAAATAGACCCAGTTTAGTTTCATTCAATCGCAGGTAAAAGTATCTAACAATTTATTAAGACTTACTAAGCTAAAGTTCTTAAAGAGATGGCAAGTTCTTAAAGAGATGGGAGTACCAGACCATCTCATTTGTCTTTTGAGAAACCTATATGCGGGTCAAGAAGCAACAGTGGGAACCGAACACGGAACCACTGATTGGTTCAAAATTGGAAAAGGAGTCCAGCAAGGCGGTATACTGTCGCCCTGCCTATTTAACTTATATGCAGAGCACATCATGAGAAAGGCAGGGCTAGATGAATCAAAAGTTGGAATTAAGATTGCCGGGAGAAATATCAACAACCTAAGATATGCAGATGATACCACTCTAATGGCAGAAAGTGAAGAGGAACTAAAGAGCCTCTTGATGCGGGTGAAGAAGGAGAGTGCAAAAGTTGGCTTGAAACTCAACATTAAGAAAACCAAAATCATGGCATCCGGCCCTCTCAATTCCTGGCAAATAGATGGGGAAGAAATGGAGGTAGTGACAGATTTTATTTTTCTGGGCTCCAAGATCACCTCAGATGGGGACTGCAGCCAAGAAATTAAAAGACGCTTGCTCCTGGGGAGGAAAGCTATGGCAAATCTAGACAGCATACTAAAAAGCAGAGACATCACCCTGCCAACAAAAGTGCGTATAGTCCAGGCCATGGTTTTCCCAGTTGCAATGTATGGCTGTGAAAGTTGGACCATAAGAAAGGCTGAGCGCCAAAGAATTGAGGCCTTTGAACTATGGTGCTGGAGAAGACTCCTGCAAGTCTCTTGGACTGCAAGGCGTTCAAACCGGTCAGTCCTAGAAGAGATCAACCCCGACTGCTCTTTAGAAGGCCAGATCCTGAAGTTGAAACTCAAATACTTTGGCCACCTAATGAGAAGGAAGGACTCACTGGAGAAGGGCCTAATGCTGGGAAAGATTGAGGTCAATAGAAGAAGGAGACGACAGAGAATGAGATGGCTGGATGGAGTCACTGAAGCAGTAGGTGTGAATTTAAATGGACTCCAGAAGATGATAGAGGACAGGAAGACCTGGAGGAATGTTGTCCATGGGGTCGCGATGGGTCGGACACGACTTCGCAATTAACAACAACAAAGCTAAAAAAACCAGAAGCCATGACTATAGTTATAAGGAAAAAAGTGCTCTGGCATCCCTGTGTGGTATTTATTTATTTTTAAAAGGTTTATTACTCCATTATGAAGCAAACATAACATAAAAATGAATAGTCACCAAAGAGGATATGGTTAAAGGTTGCTGTACAATTTGGACCATAACAATATCTGGCTAAATTCATGCTTACCTTGTACATGGAGACACCCTGCTGGATTCCAGATTGCGCTAACAACATGAGTTTTCGCCACTTCTCAGTTTTCTGCATGAGACTAGAATTAAGCAACATCTCCACTGAGGGCCGGAGAAAATGATCGGGTTCCAACATGGCAACTAGAAGTTTTTTCAGCTCAACCGAGAGACCTGAAGTAGGTAGGAAGAGTCAGTCACCTATCTTTAATTATGTGGCATATTGAATTTTTCATATCAGTGGCTTCTTTACTTGATTATTCTGCTTTTTAGTTTGCCTGCTTGCCAGCATAATTCTTGCATTGTAAATATTATACACAGAGATGTCCCCTATACTGCTGCTCACCTGCAGTGAATTCTGGAGGCAAATAACCCTGTCGAAGCTGCTGCCAGCCTTCACCTCCATTGGGGAGCTCCATATTACAGGCAATTTCTAGGATAGTTATGCCTAGACTGAGAAGGCAGAAAGACATAGATCATGTAACTGTAGCAGGCAGCACTATTAAATCATATCACTGATTTTTAATACCCATTGTTAGCAACATATGAGGCAAAGGAGCAAATTATGCAAGAGTGGCCATTCCTGGCACCAGAAAATCTAGCTCCCCACCTTCTCATCACACCCCACACCTGAAGACATCAGCAGCCTTGGTATATTCTCCACGGAGCAGGTCCGGGGCCATATATCGTGGATCCCCTTCTTGAGCATCTTTCAGATCCCCAGAGTCCAACTCCAGCATTAGCCCAAAGTCGCCCAGCTTACAGACATTGGTAGATGATAGAAAGATGTTAGCTGGCTTGATATCCATGTGTAGAAGGTTACGATCATGTAAATGGCGCAGTCCTTGAAGCATATCCCAGAGAAAGGCCTGAACTTGCCATTCGGACAGAGGCCCACATTCCTCACAGTACTGCAACAGGGTGCCCGGGCACAACTCTGTCTGGATGTACAGTTGACCACGCTCCTCCCAGGCCTGTACAAAGCTCACACAGTTGGGATGGTGCCCCACACGCTCATGCTTGCGCACCTCAGCCAATTTGCGCTGCCTATCACCCTCACCCCGGAAAGGCTCTACAGAACGCTTCACTGCATACAATTGACCATCTTCCTGAGACCGTACCTATAAGAGAGAATGGGGAGGAACTTGGCTTTAAATTAAAGAATCCTACCAGATAATCCCAACATTGTTAGTGAGGAGTGGTACCATTGTGCCAAAAACATTCTTTTTCTCTGACAGGGAATAATGTCTATATCAGTGATGGCGAACCTTTTAGAGACCAAGTGCCCCAAAACTACTCCCTGCCCCCGCTCCACCTCCAACCCTGCCTGTTCCGCCCCATGCCCCGCCTATCTGCAGGGCCACAGACCGCCTCCATGGCCCACCGCAGATCAGCCAGGCAGTCCTGCAGTGCCATGGCAGCCACGCCCTCCGCCCACACCCTACAGCATCTGCACACTATGGGGCGTGAGGGCAAAGTCTTGTCCGTGCTACCTGGCTATGTCCTTGGCTGTACTACTCTGTGCAGGCCGCACCTGGGGGCCACTTTCCTCCAGGGGGCTGCTGGTGAGGGGGCTGTGGTGGGAGGCAGGGCTGGGGCAATGGCGCACATGCTCAGAGAGGGCTCCGAGTGTCGCCTCTGGCACACATGCCATAGGTTCGCCACCACTGGTCTATATCATGTAATGAGACTGCAAATAAATGTTCTATTTGTTCTAATTGCTAAGGCAGCCAAAATTAAATCACAAGTACTTAAATACTGTAATCTGAAATGCAAAAATTTCTACGGGATTACCAAGTTACACTGAAATATAGGAAATTATCTGCTGTTTAAATAAAAGTTCAATTTGTTTTTTTGAATTGTCTTCCACATGGTTCAAAGAGGTTTACTAATGGAATGTGATGACAATACTTTTTATCTAGTCCCACATAGCCCTACAGAATGTGGAATCTCCATTTAGCTGTCCCAACTAAAATCCATTAAAGTCTCCATTAATTTCTGTACGCGTATTTTAAGCCATTAATCATTACTTGATGACCACTTACCTTATATACCTCTCCAAAAGATCCTCGTCCCAAACAGCTCAGTTTCTGGAAGCATTGCCTGAAAAACAACTCTCTTTTAGAGGCATCATACAGATGACTATGTAGAAGTGATTGCTGCTTGTGCAAACTATGGAAGGAAACACTATGTGGCTGGAGCTTAGTCCAAGGCTGCAGACGGCGGTCAGAGAAAATTCGGCTCACAGTTAATGTGCTCTTGTGGCGTGGCCGTGGAGGAAGGGTATAGCTGAGGGCTTGGCGGGTCTTTTTGATGGAAAAACTGCATTCTGCTTCCCTGAAGAAGGCAGGCACTGGCAGAGGAGTATGGCTCAACTGAGACTCAGCACTTGAACAGTCAAGAGGTACTGGCATGTCTGAAAATAGAAAGTGTAATCAGTAATACTATGCAATATTTTCCTTTATAGTCTAAACCAGAAAGCATCAAGTTTTGGTGCTAAGCTATTGAGCATTTTCCTTCAGATTCATAAATCATAAAAACTGAATATAAGCAGTTACAAACTATTCCTCATATTTAACCTAACTGGAATAACATAGATCATGACATATATTGAGTTTAAACCATCTTTTCACACAATGTAATAGCATATTAAAGAGAAAGATACATTATGAAAAATAAAAAGAAAACAAAAAAATCCAATAAAATGTAATAAGCATCCTTATGTTTTTCACCTTAACTCGTATGAATGTAGGTAAGTAAATATATTTAACAAAACTATAAAATTCATAGAGCTAATATAAATAGTCAAACCTATAAAGTTTATTAGCTATGCATCTGTCTGCTTTGTTTATTTCTTCCTTAGTTAGAAGCACTTAAAAGGCTAAATAGAAGGAATAAAGTAAGCATATTTAGAAACATTAGTTTGTAAGACCTCTAGTATTGCTATGGCACAAACTGATGCTTCTTTATTTCTAGCTTACAATTCTAAAAACAGCCTTTAATTTGATATTAATAATTTCTATGTTTTCAGTTCTTTTTGCAGTAAGATTCTCTTTATTTTATCCTTTAAAAAACGCTTATCAACCAAAAGCTTTAATAATGACCATACTTTTCAATCAGCACTAGATTTCCATCTGAGAAAATCAATGCTCTGTGGTCTGCTATCTCTAAATTCTGACTATTTGAAAAGTATTTCAGGTAAGATGGATTTATCTGTCTGCTGCAGCTGTCCAGGATCCATCAATAACAGTCATGAAGTTTCTTAGTGATTCCTGATAAGAGACGTGACATTCAAATGTGGGATTCAGCTGGTTCACACAACTGGTAGCTAATTTTTTGTTGCCCAGGTCCAGAATGGATTTCTGGAAGCGGCATCCACACAGAGAACCGGGGTTGTTCACATATTTGAATCCCACCACTGAGCAGAACTATAAACTGAACAAACAATATAAAAAGTTTCAAAGTATTGTTTTTTTCCACCAGTTCCTTGCTTACATAATCCATCATAAAGTACTTGAATTTTTTTTAAAAAAAGAAGTAATCATATATACTTTTCGGGGATAAGTTGTAATAAAAATAGTGGCGATTACTTAAGGGTAAGGGGCGGGCATGGTGGCTCAGTGAGTTAAGACATTGGACCTTGTTGGCTGGAAAGCCAACAACCCAGGTTCGAGACTCAAGTGCCATGTGACGGAGTGAGTTCATGTTCTTGCCCCAGTTCTTGACAACTAGCAGTTTGAAATTATGAAATACGAATAAATTGGTACCACTTCAGTGGGAAGGTAACAGTGCTCTGTTAAGTCATGCTGGCTACCTGACTGCGGAAATGTCTTCGGACACTGCTTGCTCAATGGGTTGAAACAGAGATGAGCACTGCCCCTTATAGTTGGCAATGACTAGCAGAGTAAAATCTGCAAGGACTCTTTTACCTTTACTAAAGGATAAAGGTTATAGAATGCACTACATGCTCTCTTATCCAACATGGCAACTGTAATTGTGTATAATATTTAAAAGACACAAACTATATTTTTACAGTGCTAAGAGCATCAGACTAAGAGTAGGACTTCAAATGTAGCTATGAAGCTGATTATGTTCTGCATACTATGGAGCAAATCTCACCAAAATATGGTAGCAAGTCTCACCAAAATATTTTATAAAATATTATAAAAATGGTCCAACGAACATTTCTAGATAATAGAATGATCACTGGACTCCACCCAGAGTAAAATAAAAATTTACAAGGCTGTTATAGGCATTAAAAGAGGCATTTAAAAGAAGCAGTTGCATTAAAAGGAATACTTTTGTAACAGAACTACAAATCTGAAGTAGAAGATGGGGATTAAGTTGTTGCTTAAAAATACTGTGCACTAATCCTGTTGCTTGTACTCCCAATTTTCCACATTACATTATACTCCTCCTTATCTTCAAATTGAAAAACTATCTGCAATCTAAAAAATGGTCCATAATATAGGTAGCCCTTCCTTAACTTATATTTGTTCAGGGACCATTTGAAGTTACTCCATTACTAAGCCTTTTAGCTTGTCTGTCCCTGATCAATCACCTTCTTCTAAATTTCCTCTTCCAGCAATTCTTCATTTGCCCTGCTCTGATGTTGGCATATGCCAAGAAATATGATGAAAATCTCCCAAAAATATTTGTCCACCTTTCCAGGTAGACCAGACAGGAAACATGACCAGATACAATAAACTAATTCTACTTTATTGCAAAGTATTGTATTATGTTGTATTAACAAAATCTTGCAGGTCAGAAAGTACAAATCTCCCACTGTCTTCTTTACAGCCCCAGAAGCTATGGAAGGGTCTCTTCTGAGTCTCTTTCTCTGTCCACTATCCAGCTGTGAGTTATGTCCTTTTTTATCCAAACATTAGGCAGTATCTCGTTGCCCCAGTTTTCAAGGTCTTTCCCACATATTATTACAATATTAGAGGGTATAAGTTATTGGGTAACAAAAATGCAGTGATTATTGGAATCACCTATATTAAAGTTAGTTCTATGGCTTTCTTCGTACCAAGAGTCTCCAACCTCCAATCCGCAGCCCATTTGCAACCAGACCGTGGAAGTGGTGGGCGACTGAGTACATGCACACGAAGCTGCATTTGTGAAAGCGGCAAGTGCGTGCGTAAAACCATTCCATCTCCCTACTGCTACCATCGCCGATCTGCCAAGCTAGAAGGTTGGAGACCACTGCTCTAGCCCACATGATTAATTCACTTATAATGGGGTGTGGCCTATAGATTTTTCCAGAACATTAACTTACTCTATGAGTCACTTTTTAAAGTCTGAATTATTTTACAAAATTCTAATGCATATAAAACTGAATTCATATGTACAAGAACTGTGTACTCTAACTTTTTGAAAGAGTTAAATAAAGACACAATGGACAAATCATTCACTCAATTTATTTATTATCACTAAATTGATTCCCCTTGAAAAAAAACTAAACATTTTATCCAACATACCCATAAAAAGTCCACTTTTTCATTAATAACACATCAGATGAAAAAGGAACATTTGTTTCTCCAATCCTAATACACTAGTCATAAATTTTTGAAACTTTTCTGCTTTCTCACATGATTCTACCCATTTGTGTTAATGCTAATATACTTGGGATTAATTCTTCCCAATGCCTCTTGCTATATTCACACAACATATTGTCTCATGGTTAATTTTGATTGACTTAAATTCAAAGTATGTTGTGGGTTTGCATAACATTATCAAAACTAAAACACTGGCTTGATTAAAATATGATTGGGTAATCCATGGCACAATGTATTATGTGAATTTTTATTGAGTCATCTTTTTCCGCAAGTCCCTTTTCAAAGCTATGTTCATGGAAATTTTAATCTCCTTTAATTCCAATCTCTAATGTGACTAAAATAAACAAAACTTAAATATGTGTATTTTCCACTACCTATTCTTAATTTGCCTTCTCTTCCTCTAATATTTTAAATCTAGATTATAAATCTCTTTTGGAAGAGAATTGCACTCTTACAATTTGTGGCAGTACACAAAGGCAAAGTTACTTTTCAGTTGAGTTCATCTCTTGATAACAATAGAACATGGATCCATCCATGCAGTATTTTTAGTAATAATTCAAAAGTGGTTGGCCATTGCCTCTTTCAAGGATGATTTTCCAATTTAACCAACAACTCTAGCACTATCTAATAACTTCCCATACAAATACTAACTAGGACAACCGCTGATTAGCTTCCAAGCTTTCACAAAATGAAGCAAACGTTGCCATCTGCTAAAGCATAAGAAAGAAACCCTTCTAGCTGATCTGATCTCCTTTTGTTGAAGTATTGGACAAACATCCCCTCGTCTTAGCCATTTGGCAGTTAACGGGGGGGGGGATGATGAAAGATGTCATCCAGTAGTCTGAATGACATCAATTTGAAAATATCTAACACACAAGGGAAAACTTAGATAATATAACTTACATAATAGCTGAATTTCTAAAGCTGGAGTAACTTCCAGTTCCTGTAATCTGGAGCCAACTTGATTGTGGCTGTATTTGAAAGAGACAATAGAAACTGAACCCACACCTAATTAAAGCGGCATAGAAATGATACTGTTGGAATGGCATTATTTGCACATGCAGGGTGAATAAGCTGCAATAGGAGCTTAAGGGGTATACCAAGAACTTCCACCAATTTTTACCTCACAACAACCCTGAGGCAGGTTGGGCTGAGGCAATTATTGGCCCAAAGCCACTCATGGGTTTCCTTGGCTAAGAGGAGATTTGAAGCTGGGTGTTGCCTCAAAACTCACACACCCAAATGTGCATGAAGCTGAGGATCTATTCCCTGAATTTGAGAGAGAAAACACCTTTACCTGGGATGGGCAGGTGGGTGGCAGCAAGTCTTTTTTTAGAGTAAAGAAACAAATGATACATTCAGTATATGTGATAAGTCAATAAATAAATGATCAACCAGTAAAATACATTATTGCATGTGAAGTTTGAACAATGGAAAATATTGATTCTAAACAACATTCCACAAATGACCAATTCATGGATTATATTATTTTTTCCCCAGCTAGGTTAATATCTTCCTTGAAAGTTGCAAGTGTATTCAAGGACTTTGAGAATATGCTTTTTATTTACGGTTGCTGAAAAGGCAAGTTCTCACATACTAAAAGAAAAGACCTTGGCTAAAAGAAAAAAAAAAAAAGCTTTATTACACATAAAAGAAGAGGCCCAGAGTGTCATGTTAGATAAGATAATCTTTGTCACTTTTTTTCTGTGAACACACTGGAACACTTTAAAAAAATTAAATTGATGCCTATTCTCAAAAGAATATGTATATATGTGTATGTATATATATACACACACACATACACATACACCCATACTCTTGCACATACATATACGTATGATACACACACACACACACACACAATTAAAACAATGTCTCTCCAATGTTGGTTTACTCTTTGATAATGTTAGCAGTGGCTAATGAAAGCTCAGTGCAAAATATATTTTCTGTTCCAGAGATTGATATGCCTTCTGTTTTACAAATAAATGTACCTGGGACTCGGATTTTTAAAATGGTTCTTGATACACACACACGCACACATACACCCCTATATATTAATCAGATGTACTAATATTGCCTTTTAAAATGTTAACAATGAAGCCTAAAATTTGAGGCCTTCCTGATGAAATCACAGCACCCCCCTTCGCCAAAAGAGGGAGTCAAGCTATTCTCCAAAGCACCTGAAGGTAGACCAAGAAGCAACAGATGGAAACTAATCAAGGAGAGAAGCAATCTAGTACTAAAGCAGTGGTTCTCAGCCTGTGGGTCGGGACCCCATTTGAGGTCGAACGACCATTTCACGGGGGTTGCCAAACAACGCAGTCTGCCATTTTTTCCCCCTTTTCCTTAGCTGTGCTACTCCCTTTTATTCTATTGGTTTTTGAAAGCCAATAGAATAGACTCTCTTGAATAGAATCTAATTCTATTGGCTTTCAAAAGTCAATGGGAATTGTCCAGGCTGTCGCTGCCCTGCTGAGCCCGCCAAAAGTCCCATTCTGCAAACGCTGCTGCACCAATTGAGTAGTCCTCGACTTATGACCGGTTGAGTAGTCCTCGACTTACGACCGGTTGGGGGTCACGGCATTAAAAAGGTTGAGAACCACTGTACTAAAGAGAAATTTCCTGACAGAACAATTAATCAGTGGAACAAATGTCTCCAGAAGTTGTGAATGCTCCAACACTGGAAGTTTTTAAGAGACTGAACAATCATTTATCTGAAATGGTATACAGGGTTTCCTGCCTGAGCAAAGGGTTGTACTAGAAGACCTCCAAGGTCCCTTTCAACTTTATTTATTATCATCATCAGTGCTTTTTTTTCTCACAGAACGCCCAGAATGGAGTTCTGGCACCTTTTTTGGATGGAACCTTGTAGGGTAGGCAAGGCAGGTTGTATGACATGTGTGAGTTCCGGCACCTTTTTTTGGGGGGGGGGGGAAAGCACTACTTTTTCTTCTTTTTCTTCTCCTCCTTCTTATTATTATCTGCCCCATTCCCCTTCACAAACACAGCGACGGATTTATATCTTCGTCATAGAGCATCAGGCGAGTTGTTTGCAGCCTTTCCTCAACAGAGGTCGGCACAAGAGTAGTCAGTTCCACCCATCTCCCTTCCCTCTTGGAAAAACTTCGCAGGTTCTCTTACCTCTTTAAATTCTTCCTGTGTCCCAATCCCCTGAGTCGCGAAAGAAGAAAAACTCGGATTCTCACTGAGCAGCAACCCTGTTTTCACTCAGTCCTACCACCGCCTCCCCCTCCTCTGAGGAGCGCGCCAAGCTTCCGAGAAGGCACCCAACGCTCCGCGCTCGCGCCAAAATTCCAAACGGCCTCGCCCATTTCCGCCTTTACGTCATAATCGCGACGCGTACGCACAGACGCCCGCGCTCAAAAAAAACAAAAACAAAAAAAACTCCACCGAAGAGACTCGATATCCGCGCGCGCTTGGCAACCGAATTTGGCTTTTATAATTGCCACCTGTTGTGGTCTTCAGATTCACCTGTCCTTTGTTTCGTTTGTCTCACGAATCTCCTAAAAGACGGTTATTTTTTTTCCTCTCAGAGCCATCGTTTTGTATCTAATTTCATCGTGTGCTGAAAAACTCAGGACTGTCACCAAGTGGCGGCAAAGAACTGAAGGTTATGTGTATTTATGCCTACTTTTGTGGCGTAAAAATACAGTACAGCAGCCTTAGCTAAAAGATAACGTATTTGCTATGATCAGTATTCTGTAGTGAAACTTTAATAAAATGTTGAACAAGGATGTGTTAGGGCAGGCTCTCTATTCATTTCAGCAAAGCCTTATTTCGTCGATAAAGAATATTAATAGCATTGGGGGGGGGGAATCTAAAACTCCACAATATTTACGCTATGCTGTCACAGTGGGAAAAAAAGATTCATTTGTATTAGTGGGATTCAGGATTGTACTACAAATTTTTAAAATTGCAAGTATTTATTTCTAAAATATATTGTCTGCGGTACAGCAGATGCTCTTGGATTGATAACGGTTTATGTGGATGAAAAAGAAATAGAGCAGCTGACAACTGCTAAGTAATTGGGAACCAGCCTGAGAGCCAGTTTTGGTTATAGTGGTTATGGCATTAGGGTAGAAACCTGGAGATGTCTTAAGCACATAACCAGCTGATTGACTTGGGCCAGTAATTTTTTTCTCAGCCCTAGGAAGGAGGCAATGGCAAACCACTTCTGAAAAACCTTGCCAAGAAAACTGCAGGGACTTGTCCAAGTAGTCTCTGAGAATCAGACACAATTGAAGAGAAAAGGGAAAAAAGCATCTGATTAAAAAAATTGATTAACATATATTAAAACATAGGATATAAACAGTAAGAATAATTTTAAAAAATAGAGACTACCCTTTTTGCTTGTGCCATTATTAAGATAGTTTGCAAACTGTGAAGTTTGAAAGAGAGAGCCGCTTGTTAAGGTGCTGGATTAGAAATAGCTCAAATTCTCTCTTCAGCATGAAATCTAGCTAGGTGACTTTGGGCTGGTCACTCTCTCTCATCTTAATCTACCTCACAGGATTGTTGTGTGGAAAACAGGCAGGAACATTATGTAAGCCCCTTTGAGTTATAAAGATATATAATAATATGATATAATATGATATAACACCATTTGTTATTATGTTAATTGTCAGTTGTATGCAAAATGTTTCATTTTGTGTGGGGTGGCTGCCTAGTAGTAAACTAAGTTGATATAAGCAATATAAATAAATATATATGTATTATTACATATACATGTATATGTACGTGTATCTTTCCAATGTTGAATGACAAGTCTCAGCAATAAGAAAGGTATGAGATACATTGTCTAGCCATCTATTATCTTATAACAGATATATTGATCAAAAGAATATAGTTGCATGAAAGTATTAAACTACTTTTCAGACACAAATTCATATGGGTATATGACTTATTCCCACAGTATAAAAATTTTAGAACAGTGGAAAAACCTGTTTCAATGAGGCAGCATTCCCCTTTCCACTCTAGCATGATGATTTATTGTTTCTTTTCTACACAAATGCAATGGGGTACAATAAGTACAAAATATTTTTGTAAATATTTTGTAAATTAGGTCTATTGACATTTTTGATACAGAGGTTAAGACGGTTTCCTATTGTTTAGATATGGATCTCTAATTCCTTTTAAAAATGTGCATATCAAAATGATTAATAAAATGTATAAAGACTAATGGGGTTCATAAGATTTAATCATCTCTTCTAATCATTTAAGTATCTCTGAAGCTGAAAATGCTAATGGTCCAAATTATGATGGCAATAGATATAAATATTTCCAGTGGCCAGCAACAAGCAAGTACTGTTTATCCTTTAATGTAAGAAATGAAAAAAGATTTATTATCCAATAATTAATCTGAAGATGCCAACATTTCTAGATTCCATAGTATCAGTTTTAGAATGCCATGTTTAGAAATAATGTAATACATTTATGTAGCATCTAGAAAATATTGAAGAAATTAAGCAGTAAGCTTTTAGTTTCTGCATAATATATTTAGTTTATGGAAACCACAGCAATAGAAGATATTCAGTAGGATTTTTAAAAAAATATACACAAATATACAAGGCTGAACAAGGATACCACAAATATGCAAGACACTGAGAATGGTGGATTTATTCTTATGTAAAAAGACATTGGTGTCTGGGCCTCCAGACATATAATTAGATGAAAAACGTCTCTAGACTGCCTCCTAATCTGTGGAATTCACAGGGTATGTCTTGGGGGGGGGGGGAAAGCAATTTCTAGCTTCTCAAACTCTTTGTGTAGTACAGTCACAGAAATACTATTAGTCCGTGGAAAATATAGTTGACCAAAGCTTTAAAAACTAACATGCAATGTTTTTCTAAAAAATGAAAAGTTTCTAATGACAAAATAAAACAGAGAGAAAGAAAAAGACACAGTCATTTATATTGGGAATGCAGTTGTTGGTCTTTACATTTAGCACCAAAGATTGCCTAGAATGTTAGATCTTGCTGTTGGAAGTTCTGCAGAGCAATATTGTCTTTCAGCATTTTCCAGAAGAGCAGCGGCCTAGGAAAGAGTGAAGACAAGGGAACCATTATTTTATTTTCCAGCTTTGCCATTTACAGAGACTGATTGCAGGACAGCATGAGATGATTTTGGAAATGTCAGTCCTATTCCTCACATAATTAGCAAGGAATCTACTTCTCTGATTCAAAATTATTCACCTTCCTTGCGTATATGGTATTCCATAATCCAGTACATTTTTTTAACAAATGAAAATACTCAAAAGCATAAATATAGTATTGTTTTAAACAGTAATAATATATTTATCATTACTTCCTTCAATGATGCTGAAATATATAACTGATTTCTGTTAGCAATCCCTAATACTTTTCACCTAAGCTGAAATCCCAGAGCCTTCAGGACAGTGATTTGCTTAAGATAATACACCAGTTATGTTTGTTTTAACCATGGTTTGTTGATCACAACAGCTAGCTTCACACATGTTTTGCAAATCACAACAGCTGGTTTCACCCACAAGATAAATAAATCACATTATAACTTAGGAACCTAGTGAAGATTTAAATATACCGCAACTTTTGATGATTGTATGGAATTTTTAATTTTACATAAATACCTAGAAATGCAGTCAGAATGCATGTTTTGGCTGATGGTGGGTATGAAGGTGAACAGAAAATCAACATAATAGGAGATATATGTATTTCATCTTCTTAAATCTTACCTCTGTAGCCATTTCCCATTCCATACTTTGATTCCTTCCCTCCTAAACCAAAAGAAAAAAAGATACCAAAAGATTTACCTCTGGACAATGAATTTTTCTTCTGTTCCTCTTACATCATATTCTTGATTGTTAATACTTCTTTATAATCCTAAGAAGTTTACTATTTAATAATATGAACAAATGTTACACTTTCATATCTGTGTGCAAACTGCAGCATTCCAAAAGATGAATACAAACAACTTAACCATACTTTCCTAACATCTGTCTAATCATAACATAAACACGTCCTGGAAACATTGTTTTTCTATCACATCCCTGTAAAGTTGGCTTCATCTCAATCCCCAGCCCATGAGTGAGATAAACCGAAGCCATCTTTAGCTGTAACGGGGTTAAAGTGATATTTTCTATTTCTATCCAAGGGGTAGCCTCAAAGTATATCAAATATATTATGCTCTGGTAATAATTCCCATTGCAATAAGTCAGAGGACTGATGGTCTCTGGGAACAGCAGCATGACTAGGATTCATAGGATGCAGAATAGTTTTCTGTCATGGATTGGTGGCTATGCTAGCATTTTTTCCCCCTTTCTCTTTTGTGTGGAATGATAAGGGGATTTTGTTGCTGCAGGTTGATCTTTCTTCTATCCCACAAGCAAATCTGTGTTCATGCTGCCTGTCAGCAGGCATTATTAAGAATATATATCTGTAGCTCTGTACATCCATAGATAATAGTGCAGATGTTGGGGGAAATGGCTGATGTGCTAGCTTTTCACAATATGGTCTTCAGCGCAATAGAAATGAGGTAGGGAGTTCTGGGGCCCATAGTAATTTGGGATCGGGCCCTGATTGGCTCATGTATTCCAAGGCCTTGCTACAGTTGTTAAACGAGTAACACAGTTGCTTTTATATGCTTTCTAAAAGGTGGGATGTACATCAAAAAATATGAATGCGAAATGAAATGCAAATACAATTGAGGAGACTATGCTAATAGCATTAACAACAAAAATGAAATTTTCTTCTGATGAAAGCATAGCTTAATTTTGATGATCTCTGCAGTCCAAGGCTTTGTTGTGCTAAGGGCAGGGCTAAATCACTGGGATTCCTGAAATCATATTTGTGTTCAGTTAAAAATTATATTTGAAAGAAAAAAAGGATACATATAGCAATTAAAACTATCTAAAACTGCTTGTAAGGTGGAATAGTATCATCTTGTGAAGGTAGCATAATAGTAGGAAAACCTTTAGGGAGGGAAACCTGCCTTCAGAAAGCTGGATTTGCCTTCTAAAAAAGCCCAGGAAGTCTGCAGAGATGTCTGGCCCATATTTTGCAGCAACTAAGATGTAAATAGGTTTCAATATTCCGGCCATATAGATCTCCCAATGACATGCCAAGTACATTTTCAAATCTTTCCCAGTCACAGAAGTGTGAAGTGCTTTTAATGGCAGCTTGTCCACCATCAGATGAGGGTCCTATCACTCATGCTTTGGCAACATCCAGATTAACTGATCATGAAGTGCTCTTTGTAGGGCTGTACTTGAAAGTGTGTTTGGAAATCGATTATTTTTGAACGATGTTCCTATACGTTTAAGGGGGGGGGGCAGAGGCAAATAAGAGCACTGTGCTCTGATTTTCATTGTTTCACGGGTTATAGTTGGTTGCTGTTGGGTAGAAGGATTTATTATGCTTGAATCTGTAGGGTTTTTTTTAAAAAAAATATTCCATCTTTATTACTTTACAAGTAACTCAGGGAGGTGAACATAATATATACAATATTCTTTCCTCTTCCTACTTTTCCCCACAACCATAATCCTGTGAAGTGAGTTGGGCCTTAAGAGAGAGAGAGTGACTGGCCAAAGGCACCCAGCTGGCTTTCATGCCTAAAGCCAGATTAAAACTCAGTCTCCTAATTTCTGGTACTTTAACCACTAGATCATACTGATTCTCACATAAACCTTACCTGAACTCAGGTAAGCAGAGAGGTCTGAAATGTGGGAAGTAGCTATACAGTATAAAACGAGCCTTCTCAACAATAGTCCTTAGATTAGGAAGTACCACTGAGTAAACATATAATATGCTTCACTTAAAACTTTAAGTGACAAACACTTGCTTTCTCCAAAGGGTATTCCTACTGATCACCATAAAGCTTCCTTTATGTTATTACACTAAAACCTTTAAAGAACAATGCTTTGTTTAATACTAGCTTATTGATTATTATGAATTTCATTTTTTTATTAAATCGCCTGGTGGTTCCTTCAAGCAGTTAGATATAAAAATATTAAAGAATACAGTCCTTAAGGATCTTATATTGAAAGACTCCAGAATTACCCAGACACACAGTTTGAAAAATAATTGCTCATTCCAAAAATCTGGAAATTATTTCAGGCAAGTTTTAGGCTATTAGCAAATGAGTAAAAAACATGGGAAAACAGAACTGTGGTGCCACTTACGATATCCTCCTAGTGGCTGTCCAGGGCCTAGCAGACTACCATATCCTCCTGGGGCTTGCCCTGCAGCAAGGGGGCCATATCCACCTGCCAGATAAAAAAAAGAGGCAAGATAATCTTCAATGGTATTATGAACCTTTCCTCCCCAGTGATCCTTAACTTAGCTCAGCCAATACTCTTTTTATATCCACGTCTTGATGAGATACTGATGTGCTGTTCTGGTTCTTATTATCACTCTGATTGGCTACTGAAATGTCCTTATTGATAATAGTGAGGATATTTGCTGACCGGCTGATGAACAGCTAATGGCATCTCACCTAAAATACAGGGACTTTTCCAGGATCCATTGATCAAAGATGTTTTGATCAAATAAATACACCTATCTAAACGGGGGTGGGTAGTGCAAAAAAAAAAAAAGGTCTATTGCCCATCATGGTTCTGTGTTGACTTTAGCAGAGTTAGTGTTAAAATCAGCATAAGACTGTTTAAATCATAGGCTAGAGTGAGATAAAGCTAGTATCATGTGACAAAGGGAAAAGATTAAGACTGTCAGAACACTCTAATGCTAATTACATAACCAGCAGCAGGATGAAGAGTAAGAGTCTTCTCTCTCTCTCTTTCTCTCTCTCTCTCTCTCTCTCTCTCTCTCTCTCTCTCTCTCTCTCTCTCTCTCTCTCTCTCTCTCTCTCTCTCTCTCTCTGTGTGTGTGTGTGTGTGAAGGCTCACAACCTTACCTGCCCCCAGTCCATTAGCTTGAAGGTCTCTACTGTTCAAATATCCTAGTCCATTTCCGTTGCCTGCAAAGGATGGAAAAATAGAAAGGGGAAAACATACAAGATAGGAAATCACATCAAATGCCCTGTCACTATGCTCCCCTCCTGGAAACTTTGATCCTTGGAATGGGAATCTAAAAAGTATTGTTAACCATTACTTGCCAATAATGATCTTCAATTATCCATATAGAATCTATGTTTTCCATCTAAAATAGGATAATTGAAAATTCAATGGAAGTATATTTCAGTCTCCTGAGATACTCTGCTGGCAACTTCTTCTATTCTTCCAGTTCAGGCAATACAGTATATTTCCATATATAATACAAGACTTAAGGAGCACTGAACAGACTGTCCTCTTTGAATGGTCTAGTTGAGCTATCAACAGCAGCTAGTCATCGAAAGAAATAACACAGTTATCTGCAGAGGGAAAGCTTTATGTAGACACAAAATTCTCTCTCTCTCTCCTCTCTCTCTCCATTTGTTTCTGGAGCGGACTGGGGGAATGGCAATTTGCAGTTCTTTTGGATGGGAGAATTTATTTCATTTGAGAGAAAATAGCCATTTTGCTATTTAAATTGTATTTTAACAAATGTGATGTCAAAAGTTACACATCTGGTGTTTGAGGCAGATACATTCTATCAGCTATGGGTTCAATCTGACTTAATAAATTCAACCACTTTGGTTTGCAAATCATGATTTATAGCAGTGTGGTGTATAAACTTAGGTGATTGCAGTTTATTCGAGAAAGCATAATCTTAGTATAATATATCATTCATTTAAAACAGAATAATTCCTTTTTTTTCTGGGCTTGTTTTAACAGGTTAACCTAACATCTCAGAATTTGAAAATGTTGCCCTGGGGTATGAAAGAAAAGAAAGAGGCAGAGTAAAATGGTGTTCCTTTATTACATCAATCATATGCTAAGTAAGTGTTTTCTAACTTGGTCACTCACACACTGAGACTCTCAGGAAGACATGATAATGAATACTTTTGCCTTTTCAAGATGAACTATTGTTAAATTCCTATTTCCATCCTAGTTTGTAGGAGATCAAATTTCTTACCATCCAATCCTATTGCCTGGGCACGCTGGGATTCATATCCTACTTGTGGCCCACCTGGGTGAAAGAGACCAAAAAGCAGGAAAGTGAAATTTTAAAACAACAGATACAAGAATTTTTTATATTGCACAGGACTCTCCAGATGTAATCTAGGGATTTTGAGGTTGATGTCATATCTACAAGGGTTCCTTGCAACATAGTAGACTTGGCCTGCAGCATTATCTTTCTACTAAGTAGGGAGAGGAGCTTTCTCCTTCCAAAGCCCATATTGGCAAGGAGTAATCATATAGCCTGATCCTACCTAGAGTGAAGGAGATAGGGGCTGCAATACAGTCTCCAAACTTTTGGGGACATATGAAGCCATCTGCTGATGTCACCAAAGGGCTGTTCTTTCTTTGGTATATTTTCCCTTTTTTAAAATGTAGCAGTTTAGAGAAGGAGCCCCTGGGGGACAAATTACTCCTATTTAAGAGGGTCCTTAACCCCCCCTGTTTCAGATTGTCATCTGGAGGGTAATTCATGTGTTTTGGAGGAATTTAAGGAGCTGTTCAGCTCTTAAAACCTACTGTTCCATTTCCTTATTTAATTTTGAAAAATAAAACACACACACAAACAAAGAAGAAAAATGAAGTGATTGTAGAGAAAGATGGGGTGTGTGTGACATGTGGCCCTGATCACTTTTGTACTAACCAATATTACTGGTATAGCAAAGGAAGTTGCTGTATCCCACTATGTCATATTGAAAGCATTAGACCATAAGTTGATCCAGGTGTCTGAAAAAAAATGTAAACCAAGGGCAGGATATCTATCAAAGATAATTTAGAATTCTGGAAAACAATTGCAAAACAACCAGAGGAATGCAGGAAAAGATTTCCATAACAGTCTTACCAAATGGTCCTGCTTTACCCTCAACTCCAAGACCAGCAGGTTGAGCACCATATGGCAGCTGGCTGGGGTCTCCTAGAAGAAGGAAATATTTAGTTTCAGTGCAAGAGATATGATTTACAAAGAAATGAATGTCCTGCACCAGGCAGTCTATTCCTGAACTTCAGTTTACAGTAGCTTTCTAAGAAGACAACTCTTTAATGCATTTCCTAGGAATGCCACTCTATTATTGTTGTCTTTGACCAGAAGAGAAATTCAATTGGAATAACCCTTTTCGCCCTTATGTGTTGGACCTCTTCCCCATATTGATGATAAAAGTATAACTCTACTCACCTATAACATTTTTGGAATAATCATTTCAGTTCTTAGAAGCATTACCTAGTTGGAAAGATATCTCTTTGCCTACAAATCTTCTACTCTATTTACAAGTAGAACACCTTTCTAACGTCTAAAAATTGGGATCTTTAAAAAGACTAAACCTTGAGTTACTTAGCATTAAATTTAATGCTATGTTAAATTTAAATATATATTATTTTTCTGTTCTTATATAGTGTAAAAATAATCCCAGTACAATTCATTCTGCTCTGCACACACCATATCTGCCAGCACCATAATCTCCTAGGCCGGTAGCTTCTGGTTGCTGTGGTTGTCCTCTGTATGGAAGTTGTCCAGCCCCTGTAATAGAGATGGCAGTCAGAAGATTAACTGGAACAGAGACAATCCCAGTCCCTCTGTAGCCATCTTCCCACGTCTTAAGACAAATCTGCAAATGCTCCCACACTACACCTTTAATTTAAATTAAATGGAATAGGTATTCCTTCTTTCCAGGAATCTGAAGCTCTAGGACAGCTGTCCCCAATGTGGCACTTTGCTAACAGATCAAAACTTCCATCATCCACAGTGGTTTTCTATCCAGTACCTTGGAGGACACCACTGTTGAGAAAGAAGCTTGAGGAGATGTGTGGCTATTCCACAAAAATTGATCTTTGCCTTCTTCAAATAATATGATTTTTTGGAAGGAAGTCATGATGGAAGGGCTTAAAACCAGAATAATGGTCAATGTAGTTCTGCTCAGGCCATTCCAAGATGAGATCTTTGGTGCTCAGAACTTGCTAAGCACTTGGCAAAGTCCACTTAGCTAACTTTAAGCTGCACAACGGTTTGTTGGGTTGCCAGGGAGTGGCAGAGGAATGCTGCTCTTCATTCTGTCATAGCTTGGAGACTCACCTCCATACTTGGACAAGGCGGCAGCAGCAGCAGCTGAACCGCCTAGCTGACCGCCATATGGAATCTGGACACCTGTGAATGAAACCAGCCTAAAGATTGTGTTCACATGACACACTTAAGCCATCATCATAACTATGGTTTGTTCGATTAACCTAATTTTCTGGATTTACATAACATCCTGGAATTTAAACAAGACATATCAGCTGAATTTGCACAAAAGTGAGGCTAAAATGTGGTTAGCTACCATCTGCAAACATGGCCTACATCTCAGCATAGATTCAATGAATGAAAGCAAATATACATGTGTCGCAGGATAATGTTGCAGGATCCAATCTGAGTCGGTCACCGGGACCAGAAGAAGTTTAGTCTTCCGAGCTTTGGACTCGTGCTGGAGCCCATCCTCAGGGAAACTTTTCTTTAGCAGGGTGTGTGCTGTTCTGCCTGTGGTATTGAAGCCTGGGAAACAGGCCACTTGTCAATCAACAGGAATGCTGATTTACCACCAGCCTATTAAGTACTTAGAGGGTAAGGGCTGGGCAAAACAAGCAAAATGATAGTTTATAACTTAAAAGCCAGCCATCAACACACCCCAATCAACATCTAAAAGCCACATATAACAGACACTATAAATACCACTCACCGACCCAGATTGGATCCTGCATTGATTCAATGATTCAATACCCGATTGCGATTAATTTCTTGCAAATATGAATATTTCCCAAAATCTACTTTCTTCAAACTGAAGAAAGTATTCACTCCCCAACCCTACAGTTGTAAATAATAGGAGAAACTGGGAACACTAGTTTTGAGAGTAAAGGTAAATGAGTCCCTGTGGATTTGACTCGGCTAGTTGCTGACAGAAGGCCACCTGAAGAGACTAGAAGCATTTGAAATGTGGATTTACAGGCGGCTGTTATAAGCTGGGTTGACAAGATCAGAAATGAGGAGGTGATCAGCCACCTGGGAAAGCCAAGGAAATCATCAAAACAATTAAAAAACGAAAATTAGAATATTTCAGACATGTGATGCAACACCCAGAAAAATACGGCATATTCCATTTAATCCTCCAGGGAAAGATTGAAGGCAAATGAGGTCCAGGCAGAAGAAGAACATTATGGCTTCAAAATCTAAGGGACTGGTTTGGACAAAACTCAGCAGCACTTTTTCGTGCGGCTGCTGATAAAAACAGGATCGCCAACATGATCACCAACATCCAGTAATGGATATGGCACAAAAAGAAGAAGAAGTTGCTGAATGCAGGGGGCAGTGCTCATCTCTGTTTCAAGGGCCACTGAGCTAGTGCTGTATAAAGACATTACTGCGGTCATGTGGCCAGCATGATATCACAGTGCACTGTTACCTTTCCACCAAAGTGGTACCTATTTATCTACTCGCATTTGCATGCTTTCAAACTGCTAGGTTGATGGGAGCTGGGGCAAGGACGGGAGCCACCTTGCTGCTTGGGTCTCGAATCTGAGCTGTCAAGTTTTCCAGCCAGAAAGCCGAGGGTCTTAATCGCTGAGCCATCACACCACACTACGATAATTCTGAGTGTGAATGAACTAGAATAAGATCATCTGCATTTTAAAGCCAATATATTTACAGGGAATCCTTGTTTCAACCTGAGACCACAGTAGTGATGGGGTAAGAATGCCTTTGACGCTAAAAATTCAAATAAATAAAACATAATAATAATTTTTGATAGGTGGATAAAAATGCCAAATCCAGTCTGAACTGTGGTTGACTGTGTGATGAACCATAATTTATGTTATTTTCTCATCCAAATTTCTCCTTTTGGAGCTACACCAGGCATGTCAAATTTGCGACATCACACAACATATCAGGCAGGTTTTGCCATTGCCGGCAATGGGGTGAATGTGGCTTCCAGGTGACGCGTCTGGCCTGCAGGCTGACAGTTTGACACTCCTGAGCTACACAATGCCTCATAAAATGAATCGGGGTTATATGGTACTGGGATAATTTCAGACTAGTAATTGGTACAACAAAGACATGGCAGGAAAAGCCTATTCCCATTGTAGCCCTGATTAAAATTTGTGGATTGACTGACTGAATTTGCCGCCATAGTCTAGTTAATTTAGAGGTAGTTTGTACTCAGCTGGTATATTTTGCAGACATAGTTTATCATTTAGTCTAAGGTAAAAGCTGCAGACATTTGGAATCAATGGTTTGTGGCTTAGCCCAATGTGGTTTATTCAAAACTCATGATTGAAATGAACCATGGCTTAGCACAATGTGTGAAATCAACACATTTGCTCTTGCAAAATGCTGATCTGTCTAATTATAAATCTCACTGGAACAGTAGGCCATCTCTTTTAGCTGAATATTAGATATTCCTGCCTTCTGCCTTCTAGATAGGCTGGGATTACAACTGCAAGGATTGCAAGACATCATGGGAAACTGGTATATTACTCGATCCTTTTAATTAGCTATATTAGTGACTGGACCTGGGATTCTAACCTTGAGCCATAGTCAAAGGAGCATTTTTTTATTGCTATGAACCTTGAACTTCACTGAAGGGAGATAGTATCTTTGTCTGGGTCTCATGTAAATTGCCTTGCACCTTCAACTAATGCTGCTTACACTTTCACCTGCTCAAATGGCTGCCTCCCTAACTGTCACACTTTCTTGGCTGAAGCACACAATAACCCAAATAAGCTCTCACATTGAGCTAGAGATCCATGATTGATAACAAATTCTGTAGCCCATTTCTTTCTTACTCTTTGGTTTCTTCATACTATCTCGGTCCCAAATGGATTTCCCCATCACTACCAATATAGTGCAGTGGTGACAGCTGCTGAATTTGAACGTGAGTAATCGATATTCAAATATGGCCTTTGTCATCAGCTTGACCAGAAGGCTTAAGCAGCTTGCCATCTGATTAACCTACCCTCCATTATCAGTTGTTATGTTAAAACGGTTCTCTAAACTCTTTGGAGCAGGGGTAGGCAACCCAAAACACTCAAAGAGCCACTTGGACCCGTTTCCCACAAAAACAAAACACCGGGAGCCGCAAAACCCTTTTGATATCTAAAATGAAGATAACACTGCATATATCCTTTTTTACCTTTATTATAGGTGTGTGTGCGTGTGTGTGTGTGTGTGTGTATGTATGTGTGTGCGCACACACACACACACACACATTAAAAATAAAAGTAAAAATATGACTCTTGGGAATATCCATACTATTAAAACAATGATCACCAAGAGAATGCTTTAAGAGAATAAAATTACATACACACACAGGTTAAAAAAAGGATATATGCAGTGTTATCTTCATTTTAGATGTCAAAAGGGTCTCTCTCTATCTCTCTCCCTCCCTCCCTCTCTATCTGCCCTTGGTCTGCCACTCCTCTTCCCCCACTCTCTCTCTCTCTCTCTCTCCCCCTCCCTCTCTCTTTCTCCCCCCCTCCTATCTGCTGCTCACCTGGCAAGCTTCAAGCTATTGTCCAACAAGTTCAGGGGTAAGCAACCTCGTCTCTTTTATGACTCATGGACTTCAACTCCCAGAATTCCTGAGTCAGCCTAGCTGGGCTAGCTAGCTCTCTCCTGCCCTTCCTGCTTCCTGCTTCCTGCAGAGACGCAGCAAGGGGAGGAGCTCCGCCCAGTAAGCTTTTCAGCTCCTCTGGGAACACTGTGAGTGCACTCTCTTTTACACACACACACACACACACACACACAGAGAGAGAGAGAGAGAGAGAGAGAGAGAGAGAGAGAGAAGCAGGGAAGCGCAATTGACTCTCTCTGTCTCTGTCTCTCTCTGCAAAGGCAGAGGAGGCTGGGAGCCACAGGGGAAGGCTCAAAGAGCCACATGCGGCTCCGAAGCCGCAGGTTGCCGACCTGTGCTTTGGAGGAAAGGAGAAAAACAAATTAATGCTGTCCATCCTCATTCCCACCTGGCTGAGCTCCAACAAGAGGGAATCCATTGGCTCCAGCTCCATAACCTGAAAAAGTAAAAGAAGATGTCATTTGTCTAGCTAGCTAGAAACCCATGCCACAATCTATTGTGTATTCTAAAGCAGCTGAATTCAGATAAAGACAGCTTTTATTTTTTTAACACATTGGTCAACAGCGCCACATTCTGGACATACCTATTTATTGCAGCAAGTGATGTGCAAAACATTTTTGTTCATTATGCAGCTCTCTATATTTCTGAATTAATGATGCCAGGGAAAACCAGGAGCAGTTTGCATGAAAGAGAAATGCAGCCATGATTTTTATCTGCTTTGTGAAAAACCAGGGTACAGGTAGCCCTTAACTTACAACCATCTGTTTAGTGACTGAAAAATGTCCAGTCCTTGCTCTTATGACTAGTCCTTGCACTTCTGACTGTGACAGCAGCCCAATGTTCACATGATTGCAACTTGAATGTTTGGTGACTGATTCACATTTGTGACTGACTGCAGCATCCTGCAGTCACATGATTAATATTTGCTACCATTTTTGTTGATTTATGGCAAAACTCCACAAACAACTGTGGCATTTGCTTAATGATCCTGGTTCACTCAATGTGAAGTGATGATTCACTTAAAAATGGTTGTAAAATTGAGTCTATCTTGACTTATGGCCGCAATAATTTATGATGGAAATTCTGGACATTGGTTGAGGAATGTATCTCAAGTATCCCAAAACCTGTATCTCAAGTATCCCAAAACAAGATGGCAGAAATGGAAACAAAGAGGAAAATGAAAGGGGAATCTGTACATAATAGTGTGTCCAAAGAAGCAGTTTTATAAAAAATTTATTGCTCCTTAGCTCAATACTGGTCACTCTGACCCACCTCCTATCTTGACTAGAAGTTGGCACGTGCTGAATTTTTACATGCAAGTCCATGAGTATATTATCATTAGTACAACTCTATGAAGAGGCTTACTTGCATAATACCTACATGTGCCTCTTTTGAAACAATCTAGTCTTTCTTACCGTTGCCATATCCATTCTGCATCCCATTGCTTGGGAAGCTTCCAGCTCCAACACCACCCATATATCCTGTGGAAGAAAATACACAGTAAAAACCAAGACACAAATAGACACACACACACACACACACACACACACACACACACTTCCTCTTTTTCCTTATCTTTTGCTTAAAGCTCAGATAGCAGGGTTGACATGGAAAACTGGAAGTAAGTACTTCTGAATATGTGTAAAAGATCTTTCCTGTTCAGATAAGGAGACATCAGGGACAAAGAATAGCTAAAAGATACATTTTAAAAATAAAATTGGGCCTAAATATCTCCCTTTGAAGAGATAAACCTTTAGAAAACTCCCAGTGACTCTATATCCAAGTTTTGCAGCTAAATCTCCTGTGGATTAATTCCTAGGTTATCAAGCTGTGTTCAGAAATGAGCCCTGTTTGTAACTTGCTCAGGGTAATCAGACGCTAAGAGTGTTTTGAATGCTTTCCTTCATAATCTTCTCTGATCCTTGCCTTGTTGCCACCTTTGTTCTTCATTTCCCGGGTACTAGTAACAACGGGAAGATCTGGCTGAACCAATCCCTAAGAGCAATCCTTTGCTCCTTTCTTAATCCCTTGAATAGTGCAACAGCAATGTATCATACTGTTATGCTAGAGAGCTTAATATACAGTAAGTGATTTCCCAGGATTCCCTTGTCTTTATGATATCAGATATCTGATGAACATGGATACATTACCACTCAAGCTCAAGAACACTGCATTATGGGATTCCCTGTTGTTGATACTATGCAGGTAGTCCTTGACTTATGACCACAGCTGAGCCCAGAATGTTATTTGTAAGTTGTTCCAATCATTAGGTGGATCACCGTGTGACCTGACTTGATTTTATAACCATTTTTACAATTGTCACAAAATGAGTCATTGAGGTTGTTAAGTAAATCTTGTGGCTGTTAAGTGAACCATGTGGTCATTAAGTGATTCCAGCATATATAATGACTGTATTTTGCCATTTTCTGCAAAATTTCAAAATTCCATCAGAGCAAGATCAAAGGGTGAAGATTCTGATCACTTATTTAAATATTTTAAGTGACATTTAGAGATATTATATACTTGTTCATTAGAGAACAAACAAAAGTATACAATATCATCAAGAGAGTAAAAGAATTGAAATGGAAATGGGCTGGTCACATAGCAAGAAGAACGGATGCCAGGTGGGCCAACGCAGTCATAGAATGGATCCCACTTGATAAAAAGCGTCCATGAAAGAGACCTAAAACAAGATGGATGAACAACATTATTAAGTATGGCGGGTCCAATTGGCAAAAGAAAGCTCAGGACTGTATTGGTTGGAAACATGCAGAAGAGATCTTCATCCTGCAGTGGATAGACAATGGCTGAAATGATGATGAAACTTGTTCATTATGTTCATGTTTGGAAAATTCATGTTAATGAGTAAGGAGAAGGAAATGCCAAAGAGAAGAATCTCTGTGGAGAGATGTGACAAGGAGGACAAAAATGGCCTTGGGAAGATCTTTGCAGAGATATAGCAAAAGTAAAAATTAGGAAAGGAAAACCAGCTTGCAAAAAAGAAGTGTAGAGAAGAGCATGGGGATATTATGAAACGAAGGGCTCAATACAGCAGATGAAAATCTTAAACTAGGAAGAATAACTTACTTACACAACTGTAGTCCCTGGACGATTATCTGTGAATTTATACAGACAGGTTCTGCATCTGCCCTGTAGCCTACTCAACTTGTTCTCAGACCTTAGCACTGGTTTTGTGAGCCTTACCTTCTTTTGCCATGCAACACTTATAATGGTGGGACTTCCAACTATTCCCTCACTTCCAAAGGCAGCCACAATGCCTCAATGATGTGGCATGTTATTTTTTGGACCCAAAAGACAAGGACAGGTTGGTTTGGTAAATTCATAAAAGTCTCCTTGAAGAATCACAGTTACGGGTGAGTAACCAGTTCTTCTTCCTTGTGGATTTTGTGATTCAACACATACAGGAAAATTATAAGTTACCATACCTGAAGATGGGCAAAAGACCAAAAAAAGGAGAGGACTTGGCTTGCCAAAAGCTTGCTGAGACCAAAGTTGCAATATGTAATATCTGATGAACTGGAAAAGTGCAAACACATGGCAGCCTACAAGAAAAATACAACCTTGAGGAAAGGCTGAGGCTACATGGAATGGCTGTGAACTTGAAGAGCATGTGGGTTTCCTGCCAAATCATAATGAAGTGTAATTGTTGCTGTGAACGATTGGCAAGAGGTTAGGATGATACATCAGTGCCTTACCAAAGTCTATAATTGCAGAGCTTTCTTAAAGAAAACCATTCAGCAAAGAGAAAAAAAATGCAGTGGCTGCTATCTATTTACCTTATTTATTTGACAAGCCTCTTTATTTATTGCATTTATACCTGTTGAGAGTCTTGCAATTGCAGCAATGGATGGATGGATGAATAAATGAATAAAAACAAACTGCCCAATTGAACATGAAGTGGCACATAAAGTCCATTAAAAGTGGTCTTTGGATTTAGGAAAAAGATGAGGAGAGGAACACCTCACAGAGTAAAGGGAAGTCAGAAACTGCAGTTGTCAAGAAACAATGAAGGATGACTTTGTCCAATGAAAGCTCATGTCCACATGAAACACTGAGTTTGCTAGCATTTCTGGATAGTCTAATAAGAACTAAACAGCTGTCTTGCAAGAAGTAATAGAAGGGGCGGGTAGCTGTGGGCTCCAAGGAGTTCAATACTAATATACACAGGACCAAGATTTACAAGTGGGACATAAAACCAAAGTCTCCAAAGTCTTGGCTAAGAGTCTGTTTCTGGAGATGTCTTGGGCCAAGAACCCTAGTTTTGATGGGCCTGCATAGACAAGGTTTATTTTGCTGCCACCTTTTTTTGCCACCTTGAAAAAAGTTTAAGATGATTCTGAGGGGAAGAGAGAGATGAACAAAAGAGGAAATGCTACTTTTGCAGAGCTCAGAAGAGAACAAAGAATGGTAGAAAGAAAGAGTCCCAGCTTTACATGCTGGATACTATGAAGATTCTGGTTTTTCAGGCTGAATGCTAAAGATAGCTCTGGAACCTTCTGTGTAGGCTTAACCAGTATAGAACCTATATGTGATAACAAGCTGAAAATTTGCTCTTGGTTTTAAGCAGAGAGCATCGATTTGAGCAATGTGAGCTGGAGGATAGTAGTTAGCCTACCCTTTTTGTGTCGGAAGGAGATCGAGGTAGCTCTCGACTTACAACTACCCCTGGAAGTTACAACAGTGCTGAAAAAAGTTACTCACAATCGGTCCTCGCACTTATGACCATTGCAGCGTCCCCAGAGTCACATGATCAAAATTCAAGCACATGTATTTATGATGGTTGCGGTGTCCCAGGATTATGTCATTGTCATGGGGAACTTTCCCAGCTGGCTTTTGACAAGCAAAGAACTTTCCCAGCTGGCTTTTGACAAGCAAAGCTGGATTCACTTAATGACCATGTAATTCATTTCACTGCAGTGATCCACTTAACAACTACAGCAAAAAAAAAAAAGGCAGTAAATCCGGTGGGGCTCACTTGATAACCAACTTGCTTAGCAAGGGAAATTCTGGCCTCAGTCGCAATCCCAAGTAGCCTGTAGATCTTTCAGGTGTCCCAAAAAGAAACCCACTGGGGAAGCTGAGATTCTATTACCTGCTTTGGAAGGCTTGCCTCTTGCTCCCAGACCTGTAGGAGGACAGAGTGAGAAGTCAGACACTATATATTCTGCAGATGAAGCTTTTTGGATACTGTATCTGGCATTGTTCATCCTTTTTTTTTTTTTTTAGTAATGTGGGAAAAAGGGTCTATTGTTTTTACAGAAACTGCAGAAGACATGCTAGCCTGTGAAGAAAATACATTGTATATATTTTAATCTCATGAGCCTTACTGAAGCTTGAGAATTGTATCTAGGAAGGTCTCTGCTATGCTGAAAACCGGTCTTAACCAGAATTTATTGATATGATAGTAACTTTAGAGACAACCCCTAGGAACTAACAAACATAAAAGGTAATTCGTAAATAAGGGCCAGGGGTGATAGAATTAGGGAGGTGGGAGATGTAATCAGGGGCGGAGATAATGTATTCACTTTAGAAGCTTTGGATAGGTTGTAGTGACATGATTACAATATGATTACTAAGCCAATGAAGAAGAGGTGAGAAATTTGTAACTGCAATGGAGAATATAAAGAATGAATATTGAAGATTTAAGGTGTGTCCACTGTGTGCTTGCATGCACAAGGAGTACCCTCTTTGCAAAGTAGTACAAATAAATTACCATTATTTTCTCTTGGAAGTTTTGGCTGGTGATTGTTTATTTCAACTAGACAACGAATCCCACAGTAAAAAGCTAAAATCCTAAACAATAACATTCTGAGCAATTTAATTTCGTTGTGAGTTACACAGTGACAATAAAGATATTCTATTCTATTCATACTAATAACAGTCAGATTATTATAGTCATACACACACACACACACACACACACACACACTCCAAAGGAAGAAGCTGAGAGCATGATTTGCATAAGAAAAACACTTAAAAAAGAATCTGCCATAAGAAATAGAAATAATTGGGCTAATCAGCCTGATTGCTGCCAAGATTTATGAGTGAAAACTAAAGTAGTCAAATGGACCCAACAGGAGCTATCAGTTAAATAAACAGTCTAAGATCTCACATAAATGGAAAGAAAAACCAGCAAACTAATCATTACAAGACTTGATCCCCAAGAATCTTAAAATGAAAGAGGCACCCAACTGCTTCCAGAAAGTCAACACAGGAAAAAGAAGGGTTGTTTTTAACCAAGAAATGCAATCAAAACACCTGGTGGGCCTCTAAGCTTGTAAAAAAGCATACTTTGAGCAAGATGTATTTTGCACTGGAAGGTTAAGAGGAAAAAAAATGTAAAAGTGCCTTTGTTAGTCCAAAGTCAACTTCAGTTTAAGCTAGAAACTATTTATGGAGTACTATATGGTTTGCTGCCTTATCTGAGGTTTGCGCTCTCTTAAAATAAGGTTGTTGACTATGATTATTTAGTTTTATTGTATAGATCACTCAGCTAATCTGAAATTTTACTTTAATAATAGTTAAATATAACAGTTTTGAAAATGCTAAGGTGTTAAACTGTCACAATCAACTTTACATTTGTTTTAATTCAGGAGGATTTATTAGAGTATGAAAGTTGCTTCTTCTAGTAATTTGCACCTTGTTCTAATGTTACCATACATTATTCTGCAAAAATTTCCCATATAAAATCTGTATTTTCTAATGCACATGTATTGTTCCTTTTCCCCCTTCCCTTAAAGAAAGCAAACCAACATTTTAGAAAAGAAGTGCCTCTTCAGCTGGAAAGAAAAATCATAAAATGAAGAAAAAATATCCAAATGAGAATTCTTACCTCCCAAGGGGAGAACAGGATGGGGGTAACCAACACCTCTGAAGCCTGGAAAGCAAAGATGCATCATGAGCTACATCCTAGTTTGGACACTGATCATTTGTTTTTAAACTAATTTAAATTAACAGCAGTCATATTTCATTTCTAGGTGAACAATGCATTTTTAGATAATCATGTCAAAGCAGCTTTCCCTAATCTGATACCCTCTAGATATTCTTATAGGCTAGAACATCATAAGAGCCCTGGGCTGAGAGAGTTATGATGACCCAGTGTTAAAGACCTCAGATGACTTCCTAAATTCATAGCCAGTATCAGTCTATGCTAAGTTTGCTCCAAGTCAAACAAATTTCTGATTTTTTAAAATGCCAGACATTAGAAGCATTCACTTAAGACAACATGTTTGGTCGAAATGTTCCACAACTGTCCCTCAAATCACTGGAAAATAGTTTCTGATGTGTCTCTGTACTTAATCAAACATAGTTTGTGTTCACTAGTATTTAGTTAGCACCTAATTCTACAAAATGATTTCTAGAAGGGATCTGTGCAGTTCTCCAAAACACAGATCAGGTGATTTCTTTCCCATATCTATAAACAGTGGTGGGATTCAGCCAGTTTGTACCACTTTGCAGAACCGGTAGCTAATTTTTTGTTGCCCAGGCCCAGAATGGAATTCCAGAAGCACCATCCACACAGAGAACCAATTGTTCACATATTTGAATCCCACCACTGTCTATAAAGATGGGCAGATGTTTATAAGGCTATATCATATCTTCATGTCACATATCTTCACGTCACAAGAAAAACCAAATGCACAGGTATAGTATAGGGGGTATCTTACTCAATAGTAGTAACTGTGAGAGGGATCTCGGAATCCTAATGGACAATCACCTAAATATGAGCCAGCAGTGTACTGCAGCTGCCAAAAAGGCCAACACAGTGCTAAGCTGCATTAACAGAGGGATAGAATCAAGATCACATGAAGTATTAATACCACTTTACAATGCCTTGGTGAGACCACACTTGGAATACTGCATCCAGTTTTGGTCACTGCGCTGTAAAAAAAAAGTTGAGACTCTAGAAAGAGTACAGAGAAAAGCAACAAAGATGATTAGGGGACTGGAGGCTAAAGCATATAAGGAAAGGTTGCTGGAATTGGGTATGTCTAGTTTAATGAAGAGAAGGATGAGGGGGGACATGATAGCAGTGTTCCAATATCTCAAGGGCTGCCACAAAGAAGAGGGAGTCAAGCTATTTTCCAAAGTGCTTGAAGGCAGGGCAAGAAGCAACGGGTGGAAACTAACCAAAAAGAAGCAACCTAGAACTAAGGAGAAACTTCCTGACAGTTAGAAGAATTAACCAGTGGAACCTGCCTCTAGAAGCGATAATAGTATAATAGTACTTCTGATAATAATAATAATAGTAGTAGTAGTAGTAGTAGTAGTAGTAGTAGTAGTAGTAGTAAAGCTGGAAGGGATCTTGGAGGTCATCTAGTCCAACCTCCTGCTCAGGCAGGAAACCCTATACCAGTGGTTCTCAACCTGTGGGTCGGGACCCCATTTGGTATAGGGTTTCCTGCCTGAGCAGGAGGTTGGACTAGATGACCTCCAAGATCCCTTCCAACTTTACTACTACTACTACTACTACTACTACTACTACTACTACTACTACTACTACTATTATTATTATTATTATTATTATTATTATCAGAAGTACTATTATAATCAAATATATCAGCAAATTTTCTATGGCTGGTCTGTCCTATCATTAGACAAACCAACTGAGGCAGCTGGCTCCTATTCCTGGCATGGAATATCATAAAACTCAAACAAATCCTTGATTTTGAAGATAATTTTTTTAAAAGGCCAACCATTTCTCATCTTTGTGCAGGCAAATGTATATTAATTTTTCTTGGTCTTATCTTATTCATGTGTCCATACCCAGACTTAGTTTTGTTGTCTAGGTTTTCTTTTCTTTTTTTCTTTTTAGATTTGGAATATTTTCAAAATGTTTCATTCGGTCATCAGGGAAAAAGTACATATAAATTCTTAAAATGTATTTTCCATCATCAAAGATCTAGAGAAAGTTGTTGCTCTTTCAACAGTCTGCTTAGTTTACAGAGTCCAACTGATAACTGTTCCTCCTCTACCACCAGCCCTTTCTCTGGATGGGCCTGTTATCATGATGATTCACACTGCTTTTTCCAGTTCAGTTTCCTTTCCATCTGCTTTAACTTTTCTCTTTCCATTGGTTCATGTCAAGTCTGGAGACGCAGCCTTTCTAATTTGTGCGTACAAAAATCCATAAGTAATAATGCAAAAAGAGTTAGGCTTAATAAACTACAGGTGGTCCTCAACTTAAGATCACAATTGAGTTCAAACTTTATGTGGTTAAGTGAGAAATCTGTTAAGTGAGTTTGCTCCATTTTACGACTTTTTTTGCCACATGTGTTAAGTGAATCACTGCAGTTCTTAAATTAGTAAAATGGTTGTTAAATGAATCTGCTTTCCCTATTGGCTTTGCTTATCAGAAGGTTGCAAAAGGGGATGACGTGACTCCAGGGCACTGTGACCATCATAAATCTGAGTCAGTTGTCAAGCATCCAAATGTAAATCACCTGACCTTGGGGATGCTGCAATGGTCATAACTGTGAAAAATGATCATGTCACTTTTTTAAGTGCTGTTGTTACTAAATGAACTATTCTAAGGTGAGGACTACCTGTAGTTCATTTTTCACTACTGATTTCTCCTGCAGGAGAAATCTTCACTTGTTAACAGCATGGAAAGGTCAGACCCCATTTTGTGCTAAAGCTGCCAATAGCCAAAGGAATTTCTATGGCAGTGGTTCTCAACCTTTTTAATGCCGCGACCCCCCCAACCGGTCGTAAGTCGAGGACTACTCAACCGGTCGTAAGTCGAGGACTACTCAACTGGTGCAGCACCATTTGCAGAATGGGAGTTTTGGCGGGCTCAGCAGGGCAGAGACAGCCTGGACAATTCTTATTGGCTTTTGAAAGCCAATAGAATTAGACTCTATTCAAGAGAAAAGGGGAAAAAAATGGCGGACTGCGTTGTTTGGCGACCCCCGTGAAATGGTCGTTCGACCCCAAATGGGGTCCCGACCCACAGGTTGAGAACCACTGTTCTATGGGCTTTGTCTCATGGGCATTTTACTACAGCACAAACACATCGCGAGGACATCTTTTTCTACTTTATCCTCTTGCAACAAGTGAGAGAAGCTTAAGTCATTCTGGACTTAAAGTAGGAGTTTTCCTTCCTTATCCAGACAGCATCTAAAAACAGTCTTAAGGTATAGAGAATTTGTTACATTTCATCACTTATTATCTAGAAGAGAAATCAGTTGATTTCAATAATTGGAAACAAAGCCATTTGAAGCAGGACAGGGGTTACAAATACGTGCATGCAATCCTCTGTTGACTCAAGGATGAGAGTAGAGAACTTCAACCCAAAGGTCAGAATACTTCAAAAACCGAATCCTTACCCCTCAACCTTCCCATGAAATTGAGCTCAACATTTCCCAATGTTGAGTTTTAAATAGGTGTGTGTAGAATGGGCCATTACAGAATATTGTGACCTTGACTGGTTTAGATGTTCCAAAACAACAACAACAACAACAAAGTTGGAAATGACGTTGGGAAGGGTGGGGGAGAGGTGCTGTCTAGGGAATGATCAGACAAGAGAAGGCATAGCCTGCAGCTGCATAATGGACAGAGAAAGAAACTCAGAAAGGAACCTCAGTAACTTCTCAGTCTGTAAAAGGGGTGAGAAATTTCTACTTTCAGACTTGCAAGATTCTGTTAATAAAGTAATAAACCCTAACCCTTGCAATAAAGTAGAATTAGCTCATCTGGTCATATTTCCTGTCTGGTCTATCTGGGGAGACTAACAATGTGAAATGTTCAAAATAGGCCTTTTTTATGTTGGACTTCTGAACTAGGAGAATTGTGAATGTCTATTTTGAACATGGAACATCGCATGCATTGAAACTGAACAGGAAAAGCACATCATACCAGTTCCATATCCAGCTGGCATTCTGTAACCTGTGGAGAAAGATTCAGACAGAGAAGCATTAGATAGTAACATCAATCACTTCAGAAAAAAAATGGAAAAGAGTGCTGTAGTAATAGTTATTCACATAATATGCAAACCTGTGACCTCAGGGCCACAAGCTACTCCAGGTTTGTTGTTCCAAGCTCCTTCCTAAGTTGTCACAAAAGGAAACAATGATTAAATAAATGGGTAGTAATTGCCTAGCCCTGTTTCCTTTTTGGCCTGAAGCCACTGAAAAGGCAGTGGAGGTCCTTAGCTCCAAAGAGACTGTGCATTTCTGCTAAATCTTTAAATCCTCTAATGACAAATATCTGGTTAAGAACATGATCGTTAAGGGGCACATTGGTCTAGCAGTTAAGACACTGGGCTTGTTGACTGGAAGGTCAGAGTTCAAGATATGATGAGGTGAGCTCCTGTCCTTGCCCCAGTTCCTGCCAACCTAGCAGTTTGAAAGCATGCAAATAGATAAATAGATACCACTTCAGTGGGAAGGTAACAGCATTCTGTGTGCTTCAGCATTTAGTTATGCTGGCCAGATGATCACAAAAGCAACTTCAGATGACACCTTTTCAACCATCCTGGTATGGTAGTAGGTATGCTAAGAGTTGGGTGCATTACACTGAGTAAAAGAAATCAACTGCTCTGTCTATACCAGGGGTAGGCAACCTTGGCTCTTTTATGACTCGTGAACTTCAACTCCCAGAATTCCTGAGCCAGCATGGCTCAGCTTAGAAACCTCTCCCTTTCTCCTCAGCATGGCTGGCTCAGGAATTCTGGGAGTTGAAGTCCACGAGTCATAAAAGAGCCAAGGTTGCCTACCCCTGGTGTACTGAGTAGGTGTCATAGTCTCTGATGCATATTTAGCACAAAAATTGTCAGTGTAGGTTTTTGTATTGACAGATTGGAATCCAGCTGTCAACAAAGGCATTGCTCACCTGGCTTTCCTGGTTTGCCCCCAAAACCTCGTGTAGCATCAAATCCATTTTGAACACCTGCAAGGAAAGAGACAAGGAAAGTTAAAATTTGTGTATGACTGCGGGCAGACTTAAGGTAATTTCCCTCAAACCATAAATTTTGTTTAGTATTGGCAAAGTTGTTGTTGTTGTTAATTGCGAAGTCGTGTCCGACCCATCGCGACCCCATGGACACGTTCCTCCAGGTCTTCCTGTCCTCTACCATCTTCTGGAGTCCATTTAAGTTCTCACCTACTGCTTCAGTGACTCCATCCAGCCATCTCATTCTCTGTCGTCCTCTTCTTCTATTGCCCTCAGTCTTTCCCAGCATTAGGCCCTTCTCCAGTGAGTCCTTTCTTCTCATTAGGTGGCCAAAGTATTTGAGTTTCAACTTCAGGATCTTGCCTTCTAAAGAGCAGTCAGGGTTGATCTCTTCTAGGACTGACTGGTTTGAACGCCTTGCAGTCCAAGGGACTCGCAGGAGTCTTCTCCAGCACCATAGTTCAAAGGCCTCAATTCTTTGGCGCTCAGCCTTTCTTATGGTCCAACTTTCACAGCCATACATTGCAACTGGGAAAACCATGGCCTGGACTATACGCACTTTTGTTGGCAGGGTGATGTCTCTGCTTTTTAGTATGCTCTCTAGATTTGCCATAGCTTTCCTCCCCAGGAGAAAGCGTCTTTTAATTTCTTGGCTGCAGTCCCCATCTGAGGTGATCTTTGAGCCCAGAAAAATAAAATCTGTCACTACCATTGGCAAAGTAGAGGAGTCCAAATTTTGCATCAGTTCTTTCAAACTAGAGTAGTTGTGATGAGTGCATAAGCAGAGAAACAGAATGGGCTTACCAATTACTGTTACTGTACTGTTACTGTGCTGGTCTAGAAATCCTACCCAGGTTGCTATTAAGATCAAAGTATTGAATGAGAGAGAACAATTACGTCTTTAACAGATAGAAAAATGGGATGGAAAAAAATGAAACTATTACTTTAAAATCAAGAGGTCCACCTTGTGAACTTCTTGGTAGATGCATGCAAAATGTTCTTTGGAGATTGCAATGGGCTGTTTGGAGTAGTCTATGAATGGCTTGAACTTTTCAACCTAATCTGAGCATTTCAGGCATTCTGGAAACAGTTCGTCCCCAAAACAGCCTTTCTTAGGTTACTCAGAACCTTCAGAATGAATCAAAATGGAAACATTCTAGGTTCAAACTTTATCTGGGGGAAAATTTGGCATAACCAAGTGCTAGAAATGCCTGCCTCTACATTCAGTCTAAATACCAAGGTGGACTACTAGACTTACCAGTTTCTGCAGGGAGGGTCAAAATCTGCAAGGTAGAGGGTGCTGTATAACAAAAGCAGGTCCTCTCCTTTTACACATATGTAGATATGTACAAAAGGAGCAAGGCATAACACCATACCTGCCATCTTGAACATTAGTGTATTGCTGACTACGTAATATCAGTAGAACATATTTTGAAAGCTTTATAACTATGGTAATACATAAACATCTCTCTGCAAATAACTAACATGTACAGGTAGCCCTCGACGTACGACTAGTTGCTTAACAACTGTTTGAAGTTACAATAGACCCCCCCCCCAATAAAAAGTACTTATGACCTAGTTCGGAATTCCAACCTGGTTTATGTGACCAAATGTTGGATGCTTGGCAACTGACCTGCATTTATGGCTATTGGCAGCGTTCTGGGGTCATATGACCGTGCTTTATGCTGTTTTTGTTCAAAACAAGTATTTACTTCTGGTTTTTGGCAAAAACAGCCCACAGTGAACAATGGGTTCACTTTATGACAGCTGCATTTGCTTAACAACCACTGTGGGGAAAAGGTCATAAAATGAGTCTCGTCATGTGATGACCTGCTTTGCAATTGTCACAACTGTAATGGGCAGGCTCCATTACAAATGTAGTGTAAGTTGAGGAATACTTGTATCCAGGCACATCAGGAAAATATGGCATTTTCCATTGCCCTATTTGTTTTCTGTTTCTGTGATGTTTATCATACATTCAAGAGCTGATTCTGTCCACAAATTCCTTTTTCTCTATGTCACCATATGTATAGGAGGCTTCTGCCCTTTCAAGTTTTTAGAAGGCAAATACAATCGTTTCTGTTCCAGTCAAATTTGAGCCCACAAGTACAAAAAAGAAAAAAGTATAAAAATGTTACGCTTCTTAGATTTATTTCATTTATTTGGCTAAACTTACCTAGTCCTACAAAAAGCCCTTGGGCCCCAAAGGCAGAATATTTTCCTATGATAATAAAAGACAAAAATGGACAATGTAAACAGAAGGATAATTACAGGTTAGTCTGCACTATAAATTATGACCAATATTGCATTTTAACTTTTATCATATGCTAACTATAATATGAACCAGGAAAAAAAACTTCTAGGTTTGTGCCTCCTCATCTATGACACCTACTGGTTCTACAGATCAGTTAAAAATTACGTCTTGTTTTAATTTAAAGTGCTGTTATGGAGATAATTTGAGAGAGGTCACCCTGCTTAATTCTTTCAACTTCTTAATGGTAATATGGAATGGAATGGAATGGAATGGAAGAGGAGAGGAGAGGAGAGGAGAGAAGAAGAGAAGAGAAGAGAATTCTTTATTGGCCAAGTCTCCAATAAAGCTCTCACTGTACATACAAACCACAAAGTGATAAATCATAGATCATAAATTGTAAGATACAATAATCAATCATCATTAATATCAAATAAGAGAGCCAGTTTGAGGCAGGGGTTAAAGACACTGAGCTAGAAGCTGGAGACCAAGAATTCTAGTCTAGCATTGGGCACAAAACCAGCTCTCTCTATCTCTTGGCCCTAGGAAGAAGGCAAGGGCAAATCATTTCCAAAACTGCTAAAATGGCAGGGACTAAGGTAAGAATTATAAGGGGGGGTTTATAAGGGGGGAGATGAGAGAGGGAGAGGGAGAGGGAGAGAGAGAGGGAAGGAGGGAGGGAGGGAGGGAGGGAGGGAGAGAGAGAGAGAGAGAGAGAGAGAGAGAGAGAGAGAGAGACAGAGAGAGAGAGAGAGAGAGAGAGAGAGAGAGAGAGAGAGAGAGAGAGAGAGAGAGAGAACACAAATATTTGTGGTTAAAAGATCATCATGCCGTCACTGAAATCAAAGAGATATTCACCATGTCCTCTTCACATCTCTGTCTCTTTTCATCTGATAGATGAACCTTATCCTAAACACATTTCAGAGTGACATAAAACCTCAAGTTGCAGTTCCCTAATATTCCAGAGGCAAAATATCTTTGATACTACATCAAACATATTGCATAGTAACGGATAAAAGAGACAGGAGGCAAATAATAATTTCATTTTAGTCCTCTTTTGAAATGCAGGTACTCCTTGACTTACAATCTCAATTGAGCCCAAAATTTATGTTGGTAAGTAAGACATTTATTGAGTTTTGCTCCATTTTATGACCTTTCTTGCCACAGATGTTAAGTGAATCACTGCAGTTGTTAATTTAGTAATACCAGTTGTTAAGTGAATCTGGTTTCCCCACTGACTTTGCTTGTCATAAAGTTGCAAAATATAGTCACATGACCTTGGAACAGTGCAACCATCATAAATATGACTCAGTTGCCAAGTGTCTGAATTTTGATCATGTGTCCATGAGGATGCTACAATTGTCATAAGAGTGAAAAACAGTCATAAATCACTTTTTTCAGTAACTTTCAATCGTCACTAAATGAACTGTTGCAAGTTGAGGACGACCTGTAAAGGGAACCTCTTCTCCAACTTGCCATTGCTACCCAACCTACCAGCTTTAGCTCCAGCTGGTCCCATTCCAGCTCCTGGCTGTACGGCTCCTGCACCTGAAAGATAGGGAAGGGAAGGAGGGAAGCTGAAGTCAGGGACATCCATAGGTCAAAAAAGTCAGGATGGCAGCTGTAATTCCATGACTGAACCTCCATCACTTTTTTATATGCATCTTGTGCACAATTCATATAAATGGAGGGGGGAATGTTTCAATCTTGCCCATAGTCACTCTCTGGACATTTTTAACCCATCCACAGACCTCCCTTCCTCCTTAGTTTAGTTTCAGAGTTCAGCTGAGCTATAAACTAGGCTGAGTGAAATGAGGGAATTCCTTGAAACAGGAAAAAAACAAATAGTGGATGATTATTGCTAGATTCTTACCTCCTCCAAGAGAACCATGTCTGCATGTCTATGAATGCATGGAAATTAGCTCAGTTTCTATGTACAAACTTTAAATCACTAATTGGAATAGGTTTTGACAATAAAGGACTTCTGTCAATTAACTAGCATCCTGCTCTATTTCTAAGAAGCCTGAGGAGAGCGAATGACACAAAATACTTACCTCTTGTTAGAGATGGAAGATAACCTCCTCCATGGCCATTTACTTGAGGTTTCACTCCTAAAATATGTTGAAAAAAATTGAGAATGAGACTGGAGTCACATCACGTTAAATCATGATCTGTTGACTAGCCCAGCTAGCCAGTTTTCACAGATCTAAAGTAATTAAAACAACTAAGCAGCATAGAACCTGGTAAGGTTGAAGTAGTAAATTTGAAAGAAAAAAAAATCATGTAGGACAAGAAATGGCAAACATGTTTTTATATTTCTAAGAAAATTATATAGACACACCCACAAATTACTAGGGGCCAAATTCTTTTTGGTACTGCTATGATCTGAACCAATGCAGCTGATTTCGTATATACAATTCAGTTCATGGTGGTTGGGTATTCATGCCTTGCTTAAAGTGCAAAAAGAAAAATAGCAATAGCACTTAGACTTATATACCTCTTCATAGTGCTTTACCGCCCTTTTTAAATAGTTTACAGAGTCAGCATATTGCCCCCAACAATCTGGGTCCTCATTTTACTGAGCTTAGAAGGATGGAAGGCCAAGTCAACCTTGAACCAGTGGGAATCGAACTGCTAAACTGTTGACAGTCAGCAGTCAATAGAATTAGCCTGCAATACTGCATTCTAACCACTGCGCCACCATGGCTCCTAATAATGTCATGGGGATTGTGTGAACAGATCCTATACGTCATAGCCTTTCTGCCTTAGTTCAACTAATCTTAAATTCAACTGGATTACAATGATCATTTGCAGTTCTAAAAGACTATTGGTCTGAAAGCAACCTATAAATGAAAGGACTGTCCAATCCATTCAGATTTAAAGGCAGAAAGTTTTAAGAAGTGATTGGCAGAAGATATCAAGTTGGCCATCAATCTTTAGCAGATGAAAAAAAATATAATCACATTCTCTGGGCCCCAATCTAATCCAAACTATTTTAGAAGAATTTCTAAGTAGAAATATTATAGTAATCACTTCTACATTTGCTTTTATTCATATAAATTACTATATATAAATGCTATGCAATCTACAATCTCTTTGAGGGAGGAGAGGAGATACAGTATCTCCTCTTACATCAAGAAATGCATATGCTCATCCTAGATGTGGGTTTAAATCCAGACAAAGATAAATCAATGAACTTTGAGTGAGGCTGGTTTAATCTGCTTTTTTTGTGTTCTAAGTTCCAATATGTCTTGTGTGGAGATGATTTCACTAATTCTTTCTTCAGTAATTCTGAAATGTATCAGATAGTTGAATTAATCACCATTATCATCCAACCCCACACATTCTTTCCTACTCAGGTTCTCCAGTTTTGTTGAATTACCATTCCCATGTCTCAGACCATGAACTCTGGTCACTGGAAGTGATGGAATGGCAGGCCCATGGTGTACAGCACATGTACAACTGGCATTGTATAATATAGCACTTCAGCCTGCTGTAACACTTGGTGGTTTGGGTCACTGAGAGAGCAATTTTCCTGTTGCATCTGGTGGAAACCATCTATTGTTTTTTTCATGACAAGTCTGATGGGGTCAGGTCTGGGTCTTTCCCCAAAGTTACTTTCAGAGCCTGAGTCTCTGATGCCAAAGGGTTATTTAATTGCTGTGGGAAAACATTTAGAACTTCTAATCCATCTAGAACTGCAGTGCCTCCTGGCATAGGGAGTTGGCTGGCCTCCCTTTATGGCTTTGCAAGAGTATGTCAATGTTTCCCCTCCTACTGAGGGCACTAAGGAGGTCTTTGTGTGCAGAAGGTGGACAAGAAAACTAGAGGAATTTGGCATTTTTAGGCCAGACAGCTATGTGACATAGGATGTAGTGTGCAAATTCCTATTCCTGTCCTATTTTCACATGGAGTCATCCTTTTGGATAGATTTGGGACACAGAAGGTTTGGTTGGGAATTGGGAAACATAGAAGGCCAGATGGGTTGAAACACTCTACAGGTAGTCCTTTACTTATGACCATTCATTTAACGACTGTTTAAAGTTACAATGGCACTGAAAAAAGTGACTTACACTTACAATTGTTGCAGCATCCCCATGTTCAAATGGTTCCAATCTGGGTGTATGTTTTTGATGTCAGTTAATACTGGCACTTTACAAAATGACAGAATTGTTATAACATAGGAAATGTTAAAGGAGATATTTGAAGAATGGAGCCAGAAATTAGTAACTACAACGTCAAAACTGTAATGTGTCTTCTGTGGATAGACTATGCATAAAAGATGTTCATGAAGGAATGACAGACGTGGAAGAAATTTTGCCTGACAAGTCCGAAAATACAGAATGTGAAACTACAAATGATAGGCTAAGAGAATGGCTTGTGAAAAAGACTCTTTACTGGATATACAAAAGAAATTGACCAAAGTTTTGAAAATTAAAATACAATTATAAACCAAAAGAAAGACCTGGAAAAATGTTTTCTAATTTGATCTACAAAAGAAGCTTGTTAAAGCCTTGAAGAAATCTGTGTGATGGGATAAAAAAGAGCTGAAGAGAAATCAAATCCTATGAAGATATTTGTTTGTATTATAGATTAAAATTGTTAGAAGTAAAAGGAAGGAATATAATCAATTTATTTGATCAAGGTTAAAAGAAGTCTTTTTTTCCCAATATTATGGCAAAAGTTTATGGACTGTTTAACATGAGGATTAAACAGTTGATGTTTTTTGGATTTGCTTATAGATAAGAGATGGGCTATTGAATGAAGAGATATCTGTATAACCTTATGGGGGTGAAGAATTATTAAATTTATTTATTTTTATAAATAAATAAATTTATTTATAAATTTATAAATAAATATAAATTTATTTATATTTATATTGCTAACAAAGACTTAAGGGAGAATGGGATAGCTATTTCGAGTTTCTTAACTCTCTTCAGCCAAACTTGTGCATGTTAGGCAGCTATACTAACATATATATATATATATATATATATATATATATATATATATATATATATATACATTGTATTCTTTCTTTCTTTTTTCCTTTTTCTTCTTTTTATCTGGTCTTTATTCTTTCAATTATCTTTCCCTAAGTTTAGTTTGTATTAGTTTTAATTATAATTATTTTTTTCATAAAAAGTATATTAAAAACAAATAAACATATATTTTAAAGTAAAACAATGTATTAAAATTAAATATAGAAAAAAGGATGACAGCCCTCATCACAATCTATAATGTTGAATTTTGTAAATTCAGACTGAGGAAATGAAACTCTCTTGATATTTTAGGACTTTAATTCCCGTTGACTAAAAACTGGGATCAACAGGATTTGGTGGCCTTCTGTTCTTTGCTATTCTTAAAAATTTTAGGCCTTGTATGAAAAAAATGCTTTTTAAAACTGCCTGAAATCTCTTGCCATTTAGACTGAAGGCACCTCCCTTGGGCCTCTAGAATGACAAAGCAGAGGACAACCTTGTAAAATACAAAATCTGAGCAGTTGTAAGCCAAGATGTTAATTGGGTCAGTATGGCACCTTCAAGATAAACAAAATAGAGGTAATCCTCAATTTACAACAGTTCATTTAGTGACTGTTAGAACAGCATTGAAAAATGAGACTTAAGACTATTTTTCACAGTTACAACCCCATCATCATGTGATCAAAATTCAGATGCTAGGCAATTGGTTCATACTTATGACCGTTGCAGTGTCCAAGGGTCATGTGATCCCCTTTTGCAACCTTCTAACAAGCAAAGTCAATGGGGAAGTCAGATTCACTTAACAACCAGGTTATTAATTTATCAGGTGCAGGGATTCACTTAAAAACTGTGACAAGTAAAGTCATAAAACAAGGCAAAACTCATTTGACAAATGTCTTACTTAACAACAGAAATTTTGGGCTCAATTGTGATCATAGGTCATGGACTGCCTGTATAGCGGCTTCTCCAGATGTGCTGTTGTCCATATTTGCTGAACATTCTGGGCATTATAGTCTCAACATATTCAGAGAAAGAGTCTGCTGATTAAAATTGCTTTATTAGACTTTAAACTGCACGCTATTTTTTTTTAAAAAAAATTCAACAAATGTCCTTTGTTTTCCTTGACATTTCAATTCATTTATTCCTGGCCTGATTTAGGGTGTAACCTTAAAAAATAATTTATTTAACTGGCATTAACAAAAGTGTTATCATAATGTTACTTTGGGTTTTTTTTTCCTAATATGTAACAAAAGCATCTGCTGTTTTTGTTTGGTCATCTTCAGCCAATGAAAATAGGATTTTTGTTTCTTTTTTGCTGCTGCAAAATCTCTGGACACAAAATTTTATCATTAAGGTGAGAAAATAAGGAACAAGAGCTGAAAATAGTGTATTACATTCAAATGGTAAACTGTGTTTATCACAAAACAAAACAAAAGCAGGGGAGAGAACTCTCCCTCTTTCTTCATATATTAATATGAAGCCTAATGCATTTTGGATTATGTCCTTCTTCAAAATCTCTTATTTTTTTCAGGCAACTCTTTTATGAAAAGCACCCACAGCAAACGGCAGCCACTTTCCTTCTGAGAGAGTTTATAAATATTCTTTAAGAGCCTAGCTAGAAACAAGCTGACCTTCATCTTAAAATATCATTTTATACATCATTGGAGGATTTCCTGTTTTGGTTCTTGGTGGTTTTCTTCCTCACTTAATTTACTGAAAGAAAATTGCGATAAAATTAAAATGAAAGGTTTGGAGGTAAACACTAAGGAACTTTATTCTTCTGTTGTACCCCGTTGGAAATAAGTATATAGCACACATAATCCTCAAAATGTATAATCACAAGAAAAATTTAATTTGGAGGCATAAGCAGATTTGGGATGAAACTAATCCTATGCTCAAAATATATGGCATGCCATGGTCAATTTTGCAACAGCTAAAAAATTCTATTAAAACTTTATATGCCCACTTAGTGCTGGGTTTAGTTAATTTTACATGCCAAATAAGAATTTAAGCAAGTCCTTCTCCTGTTAGGCTTTAATTGGCAAGGTGGATTGACCTAATTTCTTCTGTTGGGTAAGCCAGCTCTGCTGTGTCTGGAGACATCATTTTGTTGAATAGAATCTCAGATTCTGCCTCCCTCAAACTACCAATCTTGCCCTGACTCCATGATGCTATATCAAAAGCTATTCCCTTATCATCCACTTCTCATTTATTACCTTAACTATTTCCTTTTCTTTCTTTCTCCTGAACCGTAAAGTAGAAAGGAACACAGGTCAAAATTTGCCAGCAAACTTGCACTGATCAGGTGCAAACCCAGTGATAAATGAGGGGCAAACCATTCATTTTAATCACCTGGTTCGTGCAGACTTTCTAGCCACTTTACTGAGTTTTCAAAACCAAAATATGTTGTTTTGTTATATACAGGGCCTTACTGTTTCATTTTTTATAATCCAATAAATTGGGTGAAACTACTCGACACAAAAATTACATCAGATAAACAGGTCAGAAGTGTATATATACACTTCCTTTTATATATATATAATGTGTGTGTGTGTGTGTGTGTGTGTGTATACACTTCTGACCTATTTATCTGATGTGATTTTTGTGTATATATATACACACACACACATACACATACATGGAAATTTATATATATGGAAATATATATATATGAAAAAAATAGAACTGAATTCTCATTCTCTTTGTAACTTTATAAAGTTGTATCGTATCTCTGGCATTCATCTTTTTAAATTCCAATTTTATCCTATTTTCCTCATTGGAAAGGGGGGTCCATGCTTGTGATTAAAAAAAAGATCAGATTCTCCATTTGTTCCTACCTGTTATGTAAGGTCCCTTTTCACCCCCCCCCCTCGGTCTGACTTACCTCCTTGCAGGCTGCACCTGGTCAAACATAAGAGCAGAAGTGTAAGACAGAGATTCAATCTGACCATTGTGAAATGCTGCAGTCACTTTTCAAAGCCTCTGGATGCTACACAATGTTGAGTGGAGATGGGATGGCTGCTTTTATCCCCTCTTCTCACTCCACCCACCTCAAACCTTCCTTCCTCATTCACTATTCAGACGATCCTTCCTTTATAGGACCCAGTCAATTTTGAACAGAATTCCAAAATGTGTTATGGGCTACTAATGTTGTACTCCAATCCTCCTTGTTCAACTGTCTAAGATAGATTTGCAACAGTTCTATCTGTGCAACCTGCAGGGACCATGCTCCCAGAAAGATGAATATGGCTGTTTCATTATATTTTAAAATCATTAAATATATTGAGTTTGTTGCTGTTTTTGCAGAATAGAAACTAATATACAGTATGTTTTTTGGATGTTCAAATGAACTGAAACTTTTTAGACACTGTTTTTAAGTACTGTAGCTTCTTGGTAATGGCTCAATCATAATTTGATGGATTTTTAATTTTAAGTTTAATTTTGAACAATTATAAACACCTTAAGCATCTGTACACAAACACACACTGCTTTACAATCTCTACAGGCTGAGCAATACCTCTCTCCCTCTCTCTCTCTCTCTCTCTCTCTCTCTCTCTCTCTCTCTCTCTCTCTCTCTCTCTCTATCTCTATCTCTCTATCTCTATCTCTATCTCTATCTCTATCTTTCTCTAGAACCATGTACTGTACACATTTCTGGACATCAGATTTTCAGAAAGATACTAACAGGTTAGAATAGATTCAGAAAAGGTTAACAAAGTTGATATGTGCTGGAGGAACTTGGAAAATTCAGTCTAAGGAAAAGAAGGCTAAGAGGGAGCATAATAAGTGTTCAGGAGCATAAAGGATAGAAAAAAAAAGATGGTCAGGAACCATTTCCCACTCCCACGGAAACTAGAACCAGAAATAATGGGTAATAAGTTGCAGTTACCTAGATTTAAAAACAAGGATAAACTTCCTTTTTTTTAAAAAAATATGACTTTTATTGCTTTATCAATGTATAAATTACAAAGAAAAATAAAAATGGGAAATTAATTTTCTATTTTTATTTTTCTTTGTATTTTATACATTGAAAAACTTCCTGATGATAAAAAGAAGTTTTCCACTGAACCGTCTCCCTATGGAGATTATGGGTTCTCCACTTCAGAAGGTTTTTAAGAAGAGGCTGGACAATCACCTCTCAAGGATGGTTTAAGTGGGTTTTCTCTACTATGCTGAGGGGTAGACTACACGATCCTTGTGGTCCTCTCCCACTCCACATACTTCTATAAAAGTATGAAAATGAAATTTCTTGGTTCCATATACTGAAGTCATCTGAGCTAGAATTTGGCTATTTGTTACTGCTGACTACATCTTCTTTCATTGTCCTAAGACAGCAGGCTAACTTAGCAGAAACAGGGAAGACAGCGTGAAACAGATGTCTTTTAAGGGGGGGGGGTGGATGGCTTGGTTGGTGGGAGGAATAGTTCAAAAGCAATAACAAGTGAAAACAAATCTCGCCCCTGTTCAATACACTTTCATGCCTGGAATGCTGCAATCTGCTGAAGGCACAGACTCTTCCTGGCTTTTAAAAAAAGGGAATATAGAGTGAGCTCTACCTGTTCTTCTTCAAAACAACTCTGTAAAGCCATTTGCAAAAATCAGCTCTACTCATCCAACGTAAATACTTGCGTTGGTTTCTCTCCCTGAATTTATTACTTATCCACCAGGATATTTCATAAACTTTTGCATCCAGCCAGCTGTGTAATGTTCCCCCACCAGCTCCCCCTTTTTTCTTCCTCCTCATTTCTCCCCGCTAACCCGTGTTTAAACTGTCTGGGATAGACACAGTCTCGGCTGTTGAACATTAGATTTCCTGCCAGGTCTTGTTCCCAAAGATGCCTCTAGCTCTCGTGCTGAAAGTTCGGGAGGTGCAGCTTTTGCAAAAATGTTTAATGTGGACTAAATTACTTAGTAGCATATTAGCTGATGATCTGTTCTGAGTGTCACTTCCACTTGGTTGCATTACGAATCATGTCCTTGCTAAATAGCTGTTAATGATCTGGAAACTTCTAGCTGCAACATGGGGAGAATAATACTGGCCAGCTGTACAAGGTTGTGTGTGTGTCACTGACTTGTGTATGAAAGGTACGGATACTTTTGGGATATGCTCTATCAGTTGTCCTTAGGTTTTAAGATCCAGCTAGAGGAACATAGAGTTGGCTCTCTTCCTGTTCTGCTCCTTTTGGATCTTTCTGGTGTTTGCTAACGCTGAGCTGCGACCTGTGAAGCATCCTGCCACACTGTGTACCCACACACCTTGTGTAAGTATGACTCCCTATTGATTTGGGGGCCAACAAATACATAGCCTTTTCCTGCTTTCCTAAATCTTGGAAAATGCATCTACATTCCTGGTCCATGACCTGTTTTATCTTCAGGGCAACTACAGAGGATTTGATCCAAAAGATCTTGATGAATGGAAGGAGGAACAAATGTCACAAGAATGGGGTGCTTTACACAAGCATACATGGCAAATGGGGCTGGAAGTTCTGCTGGTTGGGTGCACAAACAAATCCACTTCTTCTCCACTTGCAGTATTTAAGTTCCAGAGATCACTGTCTGGGAATGCTTGTGGTGGTGGGGAGGGGAGAGGAAAGGAAGGGGGAGAGAGGGGGAGAGGGAGGGAAGGAGGGAGCAGAATACTCCTCTATTCAACAAGATTGTGTTGGAAAAAAACTGAACCAGCTTTTTACTAAAAAGACACAACTCAGACACAAAATTTATTTAACCAAGTTAGATAGATTTTACAAGGCAGCAACATCCCAACCTTGTAGCCTACCAGCTCTAGATAGACCAGACCAAGAAATCAACTCTAAGGGAAGGATAAAACTACTTTTGGGGGGATTGGCTACAACAGAATATTGCAATATAACTGTGGTGTATTTGTCCCCCTTTCTTATACTCTTACGAATTAGGGAAGTGTCTGAACTGCTCATGAAAATTATCTGCCTGTTAAGTTTTTCCCCCCTGTTGCTTTGGTAACAGAGCCCAAGGTCATCTTCCTTATTCTCTACTACACTACTCTACCTGATCTGGGATGATGGAAATTGCAGTCCATGACATCTAGAAACCATGAGATAAGCAAGGCTGTTTTAGGCTATGAGAGCCCTCCCAAAAGCTGAGGTCTGTGAGAAAAGTTAGTGAATTCATATATAGAGGGTATAGTACCTATATTGTAACCGTATCAAAAGACAAGATGACCTTGGTGAAAGGAAGGCAGCTCCACAGCAAGCCACATGCTCTACATGCAGTAATGGTGCTGCATTTGAGATCCCACAATGCACACAATCTGCAAGAAAGTATAAAGGACAACTTACAATTAAGAAGGTCATATAATTGAATAGTTTGGAACTGTTAACATAACGTGTTTAAGTCCAGTTTCTATAAAACTACACTCTTGGATAGTTTATACAGTAGTTGGCCAGCTTGTTTGTTTCAGTCCCTGTTGAGTCCTTGGCGGGAAGCAGACACGAGAAGCAGTTGAAGTTCTCAGTTTCCTTTATTCAGCGTTCAGCTTACAAGTAGATGGCTTCAGCAGCTCCCAAAACCTCCCAGCTTCTTATATAGACGCTTCCCGGGTAAATGTGTTACTTTTCCCGCGCCAGCACCCGCGCATGCGCACGGCGCTGGCGACAGCCTGTCTGGTCCCGGGCAGCTTTGCACCTGCCCGGGACTGCCTGCAAACGCCCGAGCCGTTTGCAAGGCTCGGGACATAACACCCCTTTCCCCCGGGCTAAAACTACTACCAACATATAAACATTTATTTTATGCAGTGTTCTGCTTCTCAGTGCTCCTATCGTTACCTGGCTTTTGTTTAGCCAGCAATGTTATGTAATCCTCTAAGTATTTAGGAGACTTCTTTGCTCTCTGTGACCTTCTCAGCTCTGGGTTACTAGCATGAGTTCCCTGACTGGAGGGAGATGTGAGCCTGTTCTCCTTATTTTGCCTTGGTGCCTTCCAAGGACTGTGCCCCAATGCCTGGCCTGCTTGCTTGCCCACCGGGCTCGTCAGGCCAGGGCTTCTGTCACTTTGTGACCTGGTTGACCTGCCTAGCTGTAGACCCTCGGGCCCCTTGAAGTGATAGCCACTGCTGGGCATCTCTGTTGAACCTCCTAGGTCCGTCCAAGACCTGTCAGGAGGCTGACCATTCCCTGAACCCCGTTCTGTGTCCGGGCTTGTGTGGGTTCCTGTACTTTCCCAAAACTCAGTTACTCCCTGATTTGGGCTAGAGGTGTTGTAGTCGGGACTTGGTTCCTCGACCACCTCCCTGTATGTTTGACCCCCTGTAGAATTTGGGGTAAGGTCAGGCCAATCTTGGGGATTGTGTGCCAGCTCTCTTGCGGGGAATGATTTGTTGGGATGCCCCCGGGTATCCTTCGTGACTGGAGTGCTGTGTGATGTGTGTGGAAGGTGAGTATGCCCCCGGGGTGACTCCCTGGCTGGAGTAGGCGTGAGTGCCTGTTGTGTGGGTAAGCTCCATGAATTCCTTTTCGGAGCAATTGCGGAACCCTGGGATGGGCCGTTTGTGGCTCCATCAGTGGAGATGGGCAGCAGCTCGTGCCCTTCCCTTTGCTCCAAAGGGTCCCCCTCCCCCCCTGGAAAAGACCCAGGAGTCTCATCTGAAAAGTCCCGCCTAGGGCGGAGTTGGTCGATGTGCCGACGCAGGACACGACCGTTGTCCAGGGCAACCTCGTAGGAGAGAGGACCTGTGACCCTGGAAATAGAAGCAGGGACCCAGGTATGACCAGGCCCGTAATTGCGAGCCCAAACCGGGGCACCCACAAGTAGTTGTCTAGGTGCCCTAGGATGTGAGGTAGATGAAGGCAGTCTGTCCGGATGCAACCGGTCAAGTTTAGTAGTAAGTTGACGCCCCCAGCGAAGTTCAGCTGGGCTTCTCCCTGTAGAAGTGGACGGTGTGGTGCGATAAGAAAGGAGAAAGTCAGCCAACCTGTGATGCCAGTCCCCGTAGGTGAGTCTTTTCAAGGCGTCCTTTGTGATGCGCACCATACATTCAGCCATACCGTTGGTGGACGGGTGGAAGGGTGCAGACGTGGCATGACGAATCATGTTAGCCTGTAAGAAAGCTTGGAATTCGGAGGAAGTGAATTGAGGGCCGTTGTCAGACACGATGACATCTGGAAGCCCGTGTGCAGCAAAAATCCCCCTCAGTACCTGAATAGTCTTTGCAGTGGTGGTGGAAGAGACAGGTACAACCTCAAGCCATTTTGAATGGCTGTCAACAAGGACCAAGAAGAACTGGCCCTGAAAGGGCCCAGCGTAGTCAATGTGCACCCTAGACCATGGGGACTGTGTTTCCTCCCATTTATGCACGGGAGCTTGGGGCATCTCTGGGCGAGATCGTTGGCACAGGTGGCATGCATGCACCTGAGCCTCAATATCCTTATCTAAAACAGGCCACCACAAGTGGCTGCGTGCAAGAGCCTTCATACGAACAATGCCAGGATGACCCTCGTGGAGGGATTCTAAGACCCTAGTCCTCATTGAGGTGGGAATGACAACTCTGTTTCCCCAAAGCAGACAACCCTGAGAAAGGGACAACTCGTTTCTTTTGGACCAGAAACTCTGAAACTCAGGACTAGGGCAGTGCTCAGGCCAACCGGACAAAACCCAGGAACGGACACGTGAAAGTGTGTGATCTGTACCTGTTTCAGCGGCAACATCCCTGGCACAAAGAGGGAGCTCGGGCAAGGCTTGGATTGATAGAATGTTGACAGCTGGCGCAGGGTCAGCTTCTACTACTGGCAGAGGCAATCTACTGAGGCCATCAGCATGGCCCATTTCTTTCCCAGGCTTGTGGAGTAAAGAAAAATCATATGCAGACAGAAAAATAGACCACCTAAGCATTCTAGGGGAAATGATTTGGGGAGTCTGCTTAGGTGTGGTAAACAGTCCCAGCAGAGGCTTATGGTCAGTAAAGACCGTGAAATGCCTACCATAGAGAAAATCGTGGAATTTTTTAATTCCAGCGACAACAGCCAGAGCCTCCCTGTCTATCTGAGCGTAGTTGCGCTCAGCAGAAGACAATGTTCTGGAGTAATATGCAACAGGAACCTGAGTTCCATCAGACCTGAGGTGGCTCAGGACAGCTCCTACCCCGTAAGGGGACGCATCACATGCGATGCACACAGGAAGAGACTTCGTTGAAATGTGCAAGTACACTGTTAGAAGTGAGCAAGGCCTTGACTTTGTTAAAGCAAGCCTCATGTGTATGTGACCACTGCCACACTGCTTGTTTGTCTAGTAGCCTGTGAAGAGGCTCAGCTACACTAGCTTTATGTGGAAGAAAAGAATTGTAGAAATTCAGGAGGCCCAGGAAGGCCTGAAGTTCGGCCTTGGACTTTGGCCTAGGTGCTTCTAAAATAGCTGTCAGTTTGGATTCAGCAGGGTGAATCCCAGCAGCATCAATTTTGAACCCCAGAAATTCAGTAGAAGGCACCCCAATCTTGCATTTGTCTTTTTTGAGCTTGAGGCCTGATTTTCCTGAATCTTAACAGAACAGCCCTTAGCCTTTCAGCTAGAATGTGTGTGGAGTCTCCTGCAATTAAGACATCATCAAAGTAGGGGCAAACCCCTGGTATACCCCGTAGTGTGTTTTCCATTACGCTTTGGAAAATCCCAGGAGCGACATTCACTCCAAACTGTAGCCTTTTTACCTTAAAGGCTCCCCTGTGGGTCACAATAGTCTGAGCTATAGCAGCATCATCATCAACAGGCAGCTGTTGATACGCTTGAGCTAGGTCAAGCTTTGCAAAAACGCGCCCCCCCTTGAGGGAGGCCAGAATATGACTGACCACAGGAACAGGATAGGCATGTTGCTGCAATGCCTTATTCATTTGTAATCAGCACAAATGCGAATGTGCCTTTAGAGGCGTGACAATGGGGGTCTCCCAAGGACTGGAATCAACAGGTTCTAGGATTCCCTGTTGAATCAGTTTGTCTAACTCAGTGTCAATTTTACTCTTTAAAGCAAAAGGGATCCTTCTTGCTTTAATTCTAATGGGAGTGACAGTGGGGTCTAGCTTTAAGGACACAGGGGGTCCTTTGAATGTGCCCAGCTGGGGGCTGAAAACATCTGCAAATTCTTTGCAGACTTCCTGTAGGTCGAGTGTTTGTAAACTGTTGAGTCCTGTGACGTGTATCCCCAGGGCCTCAAACCAATCGAGTCCTATGAGACTCGTTCGTTCACCCCCTACTACTAATAAGTCTAGTGGACCTTCAAAACTCTTGTATTGCACGTTAAGGGTGGCCTCCCCCTTAACACACACTCTTGAATTTTGAAAATCTGTTAACACAATGTCAGAAGGCCTTAACTTGGCCTGAGTTCCACTACCGGAACAAATCTTCCTAAATGTATGCAAGGAGATAATTGAAAAGGCAGACCCTGTGTCTAGTTCCATAGATAATGGAACCCCTTGTAGCTTCACCTTGAGTGACAGCTTTTTCTTAATTGGCTTGTGTGTGCCTGTCCTAAGGATGCTTCTTCGCGAAGCGCAAAACCCTACCCTATTCTGGCTGGGGAATCTGGTACCTTTCAGGCGCGGTTCTTCCTGAGGTTGTACCTTTCGTTGGCCCAGACACACAGCTGCAATGTGTCCTTGTTTGCCGCATGCCCGGCAGGTAGCGGAGCGGAACTTGCAGTCGGTTCTCCTGTGGCGACCTCCACAGCCGATGCACTTGAGCGGAGCTGAAGAGCTTCCCTTCTGTTTTTCTTCCGTCGTGGGGTGGAGACGGTCGACTTCCTCGTCCGGATCCTCCTCGGAGTTCCTTTGGGCATCTTCCTGGTGCACGGATGCAACCTCTGGACTGTTTCTGATCGGCCGCATGTTCTTGATAGCGCCGCCTGCTGCTTCTTCTGCGGTGACTTCCCTTAAGGCATCTTGGTAGGACAGTTCTTCTTTAGCGAAAAGTCTCTGTTGTAGATCTCGATGCCTTAACCCGCACACGAATCGGTCCCTCAGTCGTTCTTCGAGGTCTTTGAACTCGCAGTGCTTGGCGGCCTTCCGTAATGCGGCGATGAATTCTTTGGCCGACTCGCCGGGCCGTTGATCCCTCTGCTCGAAGGTGTGGCGCCATGCGATGATGGACATCTTGGGGTGGAAGTGCTCTTTCAGTAGCTTCTTCAGATCTGCGTAGCTGACAGACTCTACTGGAACAGGTGCTGCAAGGTTTTCTGCGATGTCGAAGGCGTCTTGACCGCAAACACAAAGCAGGGTGGCAGCCTTCAAGCTCTCTTCCCTCACTTGGTTTGCCTTGAAGTAGTTCT